CTTCCTTCCTTCCTTCCTTCCTTCCTTCCTTCCTTCCTTCCTTCCTTCCTTCCTTCCTTCCTTCATTTGAATTTATTCAAAACAGAGTGGAAACATCTGACTTAATTCCTTTTCTTTTCAAAAAACCTTATTGACCACTCCTCTGTTCCCATATTTTTAATTTTACTAAAATAAAGTTTACTGAGAGTAAAATGATAATCAATGTGTTTACTTTGTTTTTCTTTTTAGATAACAACAAATACAACACAAAGCTCCATATGTATATATAAAAAATCGAAAAAAAATAGAAAAATTTTTGCTCAAATGGACCATTCCTCCTATAAATGCCGCCAGTCCCTTCTGGGTATCTCACTACCGAGGTTGTGCGGTGTTCTTTGAGTTCATCAGAGAGAAAGGCTGAGGAGACAATCTCAGTGGTGGTTTGTTTTTTCAGTTTCTTTGAAAAAAGGAGTTCATAGTGTCCATTAGGCAACCGCCAGTTTTGAGTATGTTTGGCTCAACCTGCTGCTGTGAAGCAGGATTCTCCACCATGAACAGAATCAGAAATAAATATGGATCCAGGCTCAGAATGAGCACCTTGATATGTGCTTTGGAATGGCTTTGTCTCCATTCAAACCCAGGTTTAAAGCCTTGCAGGGCAGCATAAAGCCCACTGCTCTCATTAACCCAGAAAAAAAAATAATAATAATAATTGTCTAAAGCCAAATTAAACGATTTTTGTTCTCTACCTCAAAAAAAGACTTTAGATTTTAAAATGGAAACATTTTATCTTTTTATATCTTTTATTTAAAAATGTAATGTATAACATGGATGCGTAAACACCTCATCTTATCTCAGTGTTAAATGCTGTTTAAAGTAATAGATTATATAATAAAAAAATGTATCCGGACCTTTACTGTTTGATGATTTTCTTAATTTAGTTTATTAGTTTAGTGTCTTTTTTATGCATTACTTATTTTCAGCATTCTAACTGTTTTTCTTCCACAAATAGATTAACTTTCAAGGTAGTTACACTACAAGAAAATGTAATCTAAATAAATAATTTTTTTTTAATAATAATTCAATTTTTTCTTGAATTCAGGAGGTGAGACACTTTGCCAATGGAACAAGACAATATACATTTAAAGATAATTCTTATCATTTAATTATTTTGGCTTAATCATGGCCACTATAAAAACATCCAGCTGTGGTATTTTTCTGATTACTCCTATTGTGTCTCTGTCCACCTGCAGAGTAAAGCCGAACCAGAGCTGACGGTTTCAGTGAGCAGCATCCATGTGGAGGAAAACTCCGGAGTCGTCATCACCAACTCGTCTCTCAGTGTCTTCGACGAAGACACACCGGAAAATGAATTATTATTTACCATCATCCGGATTCCCGCCTACGGTGAGCCCCGAAACACATAAACAGCATATCAACACTTTGCTCATTTTCACCTGGTTTTGTGAAGCTTTTCAACAGATATTGAAGCTTATTGTTTAAAAAGGCAAAAAATGGATTTTTAAAAATCTATGTAATTATTTTCTAAAATAATTTCTTGACATTCTAATTTCTTTAGATGTACATTTATTAGAATAAAGGCAAAATCTAAACCAAGCATCAGTCAGTCAGGTAATCCTTCTGCACAAACTTAGCTCTAACAACCAGTTCAGCACTTAGGTTGAAGTATGTTTACAATAAATTATTCTGAATGTGACCGAGAAGAAGGCGCATACAGAGGCGTAAACACATTACTCTCACTTTGACACCCAAACGGTCTAAAACAAGACAAACACAGCGTTGGTCTGCAGCAGCGGGGCTCTTTAACCGCAGCCATTCCTCACACACACTCAGACCAGCCGACCTCCAAACGCTCCACCCTGCTGACGGCTGATCACAGGCGCAGAATGAGTTCTCCTTCCAACATGCCAAAACCTGCTGGGTTAAAGGAAATTGCTTCACAAGACAAGATATAGATGACTGTATTTGTTTGTTTACCAGCAGTTTATCACCCAGGCCAATTTTAGTGGATAAAATCCTGGACCTGGATGGGAAACTATTTTTGTTTTTCTGTCACACAGAAAAAAATACATAAACAAACCCTCCAATTTTCAGTTTCCCATCATGTCAAGACATTAATGGGTTTAAAACCTCCATAACTGTCTTGACACGATGGCAGCCTCTGAAACACCAGCTGAGAAGAGGCGTCTGATGGATTTTCCACCAGAAATTAGCTGCCTTCCTAATTTCATCTTCCATCTCTTTTTAAACTCTACGCACACACACCTGGGTTGAACACAGTGTAATAACGCCCTGTCCGCAGTTAAAGAGCCGTAAAACAGCCGGTGAGGTGGAGCGTAAAGCTGCTATAAAACCGCTGTTGTGTAGAAGTGCTGGGAAGAAGCAGGAATCTGAGTGATTTCATACAAAATGATGGAAGTTGGGCAGTTTCTCTTTTTAACAGGCCACTTCTTTATTGTCTTCACTCCACCGACCCTTTCAAACAAACTGATTTATCACAGGGAAACGCTCTCTAGCCTCAGGATGCTGCTACACTACTGCGTGCAACTCATTGACTCATCTTAATAAATCCTCTGAATAATATGTAGAGCAAAAAACTTGACTCCGAAAATAACAAATTAACTAAGACTATAGGGATTTCTGTTTTAAATCTTAATCTAATTATTCAATCTGCAACAATTATTAAGACTTAAACAATTTACAGTCTATTTTAATCGTTATAAATAAATTGACATTTATTTAACATTACTTTATTTGGTCAAACTTGGATAATTGAACACCTGAGCATCAGAAAAAAAGTGTCTCACCTCAACAGAAAAACAGCAGTTTTTCAATAATAATTAGAATCATTATTGTAAAAAAAAATATATACCAAAAAATATATCTTGTTTATATACAAAAATATATTTTCCCCTCTGTAATCCCTTCTTTCCGGGTTTCAGTTTCACTACCTGCCACACGTTATTCTAATTACTTCTTGATTTTTCAAATAAATCGCTTTAAAAATTACCTTTTTAGACCTGAACAACAGATTTAAAAAACTCTCACATCTGACTTTAACCTGTTTCTGACCTTAGATATATATTGTGAACCAAATCACATGAGAAGACTCACATCTGAATGGTTTAATTTAAGGCAAGGAAAGTTTCTTTATTTGCACAATTCAGTACAGAGACAATTCATGGTGCCTTATATGAATTAAACTGTAAAACAGAGAGAAAACAAAAGCAATAAAAGGATAAAAAACTTGATAAAACAACCTTAAACTTATAATACCTCAGTTAACAGTTTAACTTCTACAATCAAAGGCAGCTTGTGGCAGTTAAAGAACTCAGGCTTTCAGCACTTTTGCAGTCTTCTGGAAGTTTGTTCCAGATCAGTGCAGCATAGGAACTAAATGCTGCTTCTCCATGTTTTATACTAGTTCTAGATTGGAACTAGAAGACCTGAGTGGTCTGGGAGGATGATACACGGAAAACAAATCTGTTATGTATTGAGGTGCTGATCCATTCATTCCATTTTAAAGCCTATTCTTTGAGCTACAGGGAGCCAATGCAAGGACTTCACAACCGGGCTGATGTGCTCTACTTTCATAATTCTAGTGAGAACGTGGGCAGCAGAGTTTTGGATCAGCTGCAGCTGTCTGATGGACTTTTTAGGCAAACCTATGAAGACCATGTTGCAGCGATCAATTCCACTAGAGCTATGTGCATGAATGGGTTTTTCTAGATCATGCTCAACCATTAGTCCTTTAATCCTGGAAATGGCCTACAGGTGATAAAAGGCTGACTTAGTAACTGTCTTTATGTGCCTCTGAAGGTTCAGATCTAGCCATAATCCGGTAATAATCTGAGGGAATAACCTCAGTTTTTTTTTTATTCAGTTGGAGAAAATTGTGGTGCATCCACATTTTTATCTTTTCTAACCAATGCTCTGATGGGTTTATAGTCATCTGGTGACATTGTGATGTAAAGCTGCATATTTATTATAACTAATCTTGTTGTTTAATGTCATCTGAGCTAAAGGGAGCATATGGATGTTAAATAGGAGCAGCCCCCTCTTCATATTGTTGTAATCTTTCTCAGGTAAACTGCGTCGGCGGCAATTCTACTCCCAGCCTCTGGAAAACGGACGCATCCTCACACAGGGCTCCACCTTCACCTACCAGGACGTCCTGGACCAGCTGCTGGTCTACACACCTGAAACTGTCAACGGGGGAGCTGATGAAATGGGCTTCACCGTCACCGATGGCATCAAGACCCAGACGGGCCTCCTGCAGTTCACCATGGATGTCAGGAAGAGTGAGGGACCTCGAATGACCGTCAACAGAGGCCTGCAGCTTCCAGCAGGTGAGAGTCAGGAGACGTTTAGAGCAGAATGTTGTTTCCACATTAGTGCTAACAGTAATTAGCACATTGTTTCTAACTGTTAATGTTCCAATTAACTCCACTTTCTGTCTAACTGTTTTAATTGGCTCAATGTGAGAAAACTGTTGCTTGATCGTATTTAACCTCACAGATATTTTAATGAACAAACTTATTCATTGGTAGCAATTTATAAAATGTTGCATAATTATGCTGTAAATTTGTTGGGACAGTTATGCTAGATATACCTTGATGCATTCTGCATTTCTGTTTATTTTAACTGGATGAAGAATATCTCTGATTATGGACACATGGTGAACGAAAAGATAACCAAATGCTGTGTTTTTTGCAGGATCCTTGTCTAAAATCACAGAGCAGAATCTGAAGGCTACAGACATCGACTCGGACAACATGAAGCTGCGCTACATCCTGACCAAAGACCCTCCAGTGGGCAAGCTGCAGCTGGGCAGGAGCAGCCATGTGGAGAAGGTTTCTACCAAAGGTCCTGTTCAGAGTTTCACTCAGGAGGACGTCAACAAAGGTGCCAGCTTTTTATTTTCTTTCTGTCTTGGTTTTGAGTTTATTTTCTCTTTCCTTTTTACCATTCTTTATTTATCTATTTCTGCGGCAGTAGAATCACCTAGAATCAAACTGTACAGCAACTTCTAACAAGACGTAAACAGAACAGTTGGATCTGTAAACTATGAAAGATGACTAAGCTGCATACTCCACTGTTATTATGAGCAATCACTGCTGAAAGCAAAATTTGAAAAAAAAAAAAAGTTGTGAAAGGAAGTGATAAGAAACATTGATATTTTAAGTGACAAAAGTAAAAAAAACTGAAAATAACTCAAATCTAACATTGAATGCTATATGTTAATAACAAAACACCATGGTTTTAGTTTTATGGTAGGAAAGTATCATGGTAAAACTGTGGCACCCTTCTCTTAATTTTCAGCCGTGGGATTTGACTGTTAATCTTTTTGTTTCTTTTCAGGACTTATTTTAAAATGTAAATATTTATTTTACTTATGTATCTCGAGTCAGGATTCATTAGCAAACCAATCGGCTTTGCTTGTGGATTTCCTTCACTTTCTCTGACTGTAGTCGGATCGTCGCCTAGCAACCTTTCCAGCCAATAGAACGACAGCATCAGAAAGGCTGCGCTTGTTTCCTTCTAATGAGTTTCCCTGCTACTGCTTACTGATGATTAAATTGCGTATCAATATAAATTATATAAATTCTAATAAAATAAGAAGCTGAAAACACAAACAATTAGGAAAAAGGAAGAGTCACAAATTGCTGGTGAAGATTCCATAGCCTTGAACTCAATGCTATTTCTGACATTTTTAATTGATAAAGCTTCCTGGATGGGAAGCGAAATGTCTTCCAACTTGATAAGTCCAGTGGATTGGTTTAACTTTTTTGGAAGAGTCACAAAATTTTCTGTAGGAGGCAGAATTAGCATCTGCCTTGACTAGCCTGCTATAGTTTTGTGTTCACCTCAGGCCTGAAGGTGTATCAACTCCAAGACTCTTAAGTACAGTAGCCTACCTTTATTGGGGCTAAAATGGTTCATAAATCTGTTCAGTTATTGTCTATGATTTCAAATATTTGATTTGGCATATCGAAGACAATCCCATACAATTTGTTGACAAGAAAACATTTGAGGAGATTTTTATCATCAATAAGCGGTAGCAAACTCAGTAAAAGAAAATAAACACACCGGGCGTTTCTCAATTCACGAGAACGCGAGTACATACTCGCGTTCTCGTCAAGTCCGTTCTTGGCGAGAACGCAGGAAGATCGGACTTGACGAGAACGCGAGCACGCAAGCAAGTATGTGTATTGGAACAGAAGCGTACTCGTGACGTCATCACATGCAACGTTCTTTAGCATTTCTTTAACAGTCAAAACTATTTATTCCCTACACAAAACATTTTGAAAACAATATTTTTAATTTCTAAAGCTTAAAAAACATTTAAAAAAAATTACCGAACCGCAAAAAAATGCCATCAGAACGAGCTGTAGTTCACACATAACTAGACCGAGAGAAGTGCACTACAGACGGGCTAAATTTAGCCCTGGCTGCGGTTACCCTCGGAGGTCTGCTGGTCACTCTGGTCCGCTCAACGTCGGACTTTTTTTTTTAATTTCGCACTAACTCTGTAAACAGACCACACAGGGAGGCTTAAATGTATAATGTTATCGCCTCAAACGATTTCAAAACGTACTTTTGAAGAACAACAGCAGCAGAAAAGGGAATGTTTAACTTAACACTGTGAGTGCTGTCTCGAATCAAGCTGCGGCCGCGGGGCATTCTGGGGAAGCGGTCAGTATGAACAACGCACAAGTCTGCTCTGATGCATGCTCGATTAAGAGGGCGGGGCGAGAACAACATCCGGGGATTTGTTGCGTTCTCGATCTGGTGTTCTCGAGAATTGGAACGGTACTCGGGCTGAGGCTGATGACGTGTCACGAGTACACAAGCACACGAGAACGCTCAAGAACGCATATTGAGAAACGCCCACCCTTTCTGAGGCTGTTGTTTTATTGGTTGTAAAGGTTGCTAGGCAACGATTTGACTCCAGTCTGTGAAGCAGATACTGGTTTGCACACAAGGAGAAGGAAGTAAAGGAGACGAGAAAATAATGTGTAAGAAGCATTAGATCTAAGAGCAAAAACAAAGATTTGATAGAGAAGGGTATATATTTGAGAGAAAGCAGAAGTTTTGAAGGCGAGCAATATAACTTTTGAATGCAAGTAGAGGAAATTCTGCTCTCAAATTGAAAGTGCATGCTCTTGGTTTTTGGTAGTGTTGCCCCGATGCCATTTTTTGGCTCTGATACGATACCTTGCTGTGCAGTTTTGGCCGATACCGTTACCACACCAATACCATCTGCTTGAAACGGATGTGTGTGTATATATGAAGAACTGCATACTACTTGGACGTAACATAATTGCCATCATGGCTTTGTCAAGATGCTGCCTACCTTTGTGAAGCAGGAAAAAGACTAATACAAAGTGAATCCAGTAGAACTTTTTATTGGCTTCCTGGAATGGGTGACAATAGTTGAAGAAACTTTTGGCTGTCAAAATGGTATCGGTGCCCTATTTGTTGGTACTCGCTGATACCGATACCAACATTTTAGTGCTGGATTGGGCCCCACCCGATACTGGTATCGTTATCGGTGCAACACTAGATTTTGGCAGAAAAAAATCCTCCATACATGTCGCACACACTTTCCCATGTTTGGTTATTCCCAGCATATGGCTGTAACCTGAAGATGCGCACCAGTTCCCTCTATTCTCAAGGTGTTATTTGGATGGTAGAGGATCAAGTCTGTGCTTCTTGTGTAGATAAACATTACCTTTCAAGATATACTATATTATAAAAAAAAATGTTTATGTCTCCTTGAAGCAGTTAGGCAGGCATGCAGTTCTGGCTTAAAAATACTCTCCAAACTTAATTCAAGGCCTAAACAGCTAAGGTACTATTAGACACTATAAACACTACCCCAAGAAACAAAATTCTGCTGATGAAGGCAAATATGTAGCCCTGTTCTTCAAGAAATGTCAGAAATTCACCAAAAGGACAAATAACTCTCACTTTGCAGCAGCCATTCCTTCCCAAACGATTTTTAATCTCACTCTATTACAGCTTCCTTGCAGTTTTGGCTTCCTAATAAAAAAAAAAACTCAAACACCGTGTAAAAATGAATGCCGCTCATGATTGCACTCATTTCAGTGTGTTTGCACAGAACAACAGAAACAGCTAAATTAAAGCTTGTGCTCAGAGATGCAGGTAACTTCAGATTAAAGCTGTCTGCACTCTTTATTCATCCCATTTGGAATAATGTTGCAGCCATTAAACGCGGTTTAACACTGTGTAACTTTCACAGCTGTTAGCGCTGTGCATGGAGTTAGGTTGACAGTGGGTGTTTGTCTCTTTCAGGCCTGCTGCAGTACAGCCATGAGAAAGGGGAGAAAGGAGGGATCCTGTCTTTCAAGTTCAACCTGGTCGATCCGGAGGGCAGCAAACTGATCGACCAGTCCTTCTTCATCAGCGTTCTGGGTAAGGTTTCCTCCGTACTCCTCTACCTGCAGCCTAAAAGAAAACGGGCTGTAGTGGTCTTCCATTTGTTGAAGAAGACAAGGCAATTACTACAGATTTATGCCTTTGTCCTGCGCTCCACACGGGACATAGACTGAATACAAGATGTCCTCCGAGGTTTTTGCTGTGGGAGCTACTGATGCATTTTATTAACTCTGCAAATTCCCACAACTTATTTCTTTCATCTATACCATAAAGCATGTTATTTTCTTTCCCGGCTGTGTTGGCATTTCTTTGTTTCTCCTTTTAGTCATTGCACCATGTGTGTTAATTGTTTGACAACAATTGGGAACTATAATGCCTGTGAGTCTCCACTGCAGATGTAGCCTATAGTTTCTTATTTAGACTATATCTCACCTACCCTGCTTGAAAACAGATCTCTAAACCTGAGTTTGAACTCTTCCTCCTGAGAATAAAACCTGCTGTGATTTAGCATTTTATCCCCCACTTCGGAGGCTGCTGGAAACCAACTGCTTTTCTGTTCCTCGCAGCTTTCTGGTTTGTTATTTTCTTCCAGCTTTTCTGTGTTCTTCTGCTTTATTGTTTTATACCAGAATATTTCTGTTAGTTTCTTTAACTTTTAACCTTTTTTAACCGTCTTCATTTCCCTTAAAGTGGTTATTCCTGTCTCTAATTTTGTCTGTTCATTTTTCGTCTGCTGATTTAACCCATCATTTCTTTTACCACCTTGAGGAAAATTACCTCCATTTAGTGCTTTGCTGGATGAATCACTTTCAATAATTCTGACCCCGGCACAAAGCAAGCAAGCGTCATCAACAAACCTGTGCTTTAACATGAATTTATTTCATATCTCTCTTATCCAGAGGATCATCTTCCTCCTTCTGTGGTGGTAAACAAAGGCCTGGCGCTGGATGAGAACTCTGTGAAGAAGCTGACCACGCTGCAGCTGTCGTCCAGCGACCAGGACAGCGAACCGGGCGAGCTCGTCTACCGGATCACCAAGCAGACCACCCTGGGGCAGCTCGAACATGTTACCAATCCAGGTAGGTGGCTGCTTTAGCTGGCAGATTAGATTAGATTAGCATGCCTGTTCATGCTGCAGACTCATAGAGTGGTGAGTTTCTTGAGCATATAGAGCTTTGAAAGTGTTTTGGTATAATCAAATCCAGCAGTTTTCAAAGTTTTCCTGCTGAGCCAATCTTTGGTTTGCAAGAAAGTTTTTGCACCTCCTCAAACCAACCCTTTGAGCAAAGAAAAGTCAAGTGTATCAAATTACATTTTTGCAATGTAATGTCCTAAAAATCACACAACCACCACCTTTAGAGTGTAATTATTTTAAGTTTTACAATTTAACAAAATCTGCAGTTAATGCATTTTAAAAAAAAACAACTAAATGTTTCATGTTTTCAATTCATTTTACCTGTTTTTACCTCTCCCAATCTGCAACTTTGGAAACCACTGCTTTAACCTAACAGATCATGAAACTAATTTGTGAGAGACAGAGTTAGTTATGGAGTAACAGTTGGAAGGCATGAAGAGTCACAGCTATGATCAGAAAAACAGTTTTCATTTTAACATGAAGGGTTCAATATAAAAACACAGACTCTGAGCTCATAATTGTCAAAGAAACAGAATTTAATTTAAAATGTGAACAAACCAACTGAGGCAAAAGCAAAACACGCCTGACCTAAGAAACAGCTTACGCACTTACGCACACACACACACACAGACACACACACACACACACACACACACACACACATTTATAGAACAACACTCCATAAGCTATAACACAGGACAGATACGTTTGTTAAACTAAACTGCAGCAAAGAAGGAATATAAAAACACATTGAACTTCTTCAATTGAATCTACAAATAAACTTAAGATGAAAAAAAAATTATGACCATTAGGACTGTACCACCAGGAGCTGGTGGTACAGTCCAATTAGTGCTTGTTCAGGTGCTCCGAGCCCTGGCTGCCATCTTGTTGAGGGCAAATTCCCAGAGATTATAGAAAGTAAAAAGTGAGTGAAAAAATAGATACATGAACTGATTTGGAGTTGTTACAAATAAAATAAATGTATATAAACAAATCAAACTTATTGCAAATTAACATACGGTATATCATTGAATGAATAAATACATTTAAGTGCAAAGCTTTACCCTATTTCAGGTGTGGACATGCTATTGATCATCACAAAGTAAACACTATATGCAGCTTCTAAATAAATGTAAGAGGAAAGAGGTGATTGCCCCACCTGTTTAAGCATGAATTACCCACACTGTATCACATCTTAGAATTGCTGATTTTATTTTATCTAGTGACACAAAATAAATGTAAGTTAAACGTAAGGTAACGCACTCATAAAACCTTCTAGAAGTCAAGTATAATGGGGCAGAAAATTAGGAAGGAAGCATTTAGCATCAATCAGGGAAATGCTACAGTCCCTTCTAAAGCTTCGAGACTCCATAGAGCCACACTGAGAGCCATCTTCCATGAAAGGAGAAAACATGGAACATTCCAGCTTACCGAAACTTCAAGGGCAGGGGTCAGAACAGAGAAACTGTGTTTATACCTCCACAAGATGAAAGAGAGACAGATATGAGAGAAAGACATTATTGAGCAAAAGTTTTTATAGAATATACAGTGTCCTGACAATTGTCCTCCATGTTGTGCTGCAGGGCAGCCTGCACTCTGCAGCAATGGATGCGACACTAAGGACAATAAGGCTGTGCTAAAGTTAGAGATATTTCTTATTCATAAGGCTTTTCAGAACAACCTGTAAAATATAGATTTTCTATGTGAGTGTGCTTTATTTCTACTGTTTTTGGAATTGGCAAAGAGTCTAGCACAAAGATAAGAGAGAGAGATCTTTTCAGTTTTCCTGCCCTAATTATACAGTTTTGGCTCCATCAAATTTTAAATGCAGTGCAAGCTCTCTGCGTGGTGTCAAATAATTTAATTTAGAGAACGTTGTAACGCCTCTGCTTTGTTAATGCTTTATGTAACAGAAGGCTTTTTAAAGTTAGAGTTGTCATTGAAACCATAAGTCACTTTTAGATTAAAAGAAAAGGTTTGTGAAATCAGTTTTCATGCTGAAAAATGTCAAACACTTGCAGTGTTGATGCATCAACGAGCCTGAAGCTTTAAGTGTTTCTGTTAATGACAGAAGGAAAGAGATCAAGATTTATTGTTGGATTACAAATGAAGCAGCAGAAAGTTTGAATCGTCTTGGGATCACAGAGGGGTAATTATCAGCTTCTATCCTGCCTCAGCTGAATGGACACTTCAGATGCCTGTATTCACACACAGCATGCTGATCAGCCTTCTTTTCTCCCAGCTTCTCTTTACCTCAGAAACACGTAGCATCTCTGGAGAATCTCCACTAGTCTTGCAATACATCTGTCATTTTCATGCTAACGTGCAGAGATAGCTGACGGCTCCAGAGGGATGACATGTCGGTGTATGAGAAATGTCAGGATAACTGAACGCCCCTAACAATGCCCCCCTCCTGCAGCCAGAGACCTCAAAAGGCTAATTAATCAACTCAGGCTGTCAGATCTGGTGGTTGAATCTGTTTATATGTGAACAAAGACTCCAACCTGCTTTACCTGAATATTCACCACAACTTCCCTCAAATAGAAGTTTTGGAAATAGATTATTTATTTATCTGTTAGTTACTTATGGGGAATTTTTTGGATGGGAAGTCATCTTTGAATCCTGAAGTTGTGGGTTTGATTCCAGCTTTCTCCTTCCTCCAGCTGCTACCATTCTGCTATCAGAATATGCGTTTGTGTTGCTCTATGATTGGGAGGTTTTAGTGCAGACGTCTTGGAGTGGTTGGACTGACTAGAAAAGTGCCAAACAAGTTTAGTCTATTTATCATGTATTAATTCATTTATTCAGTCATGCATTTATTCTCCCTATTTAGTTTCGCCCTTTTAGTTTTTAAATGACATTTAACTTTTATGCAGAGCTGCATCAATAACACACTCAGCATCATTTTACTGTAGAGGTTTTTTTTTTTTCCCCGTCACTCCAGCACATTAGGAAGCTTTGAAAACATATTAAATGTTTGATTATGAATTTAATAATGACTATCACCAGAGGTTATGGTTAATTAATTTAGTGTTCCATTCAAGGATAAACAATAATATGAATGTTGGTCAAATGATTCCATCTAGCGATTTGCTCAATCACCAGGTGTTCCTAACTTGCTCACCTGTGAGGCTGAATATCTGGACCGGCTGTTGAAATCCTCTTGGTTTGAATTAGGATTATATTTTCAAGCAGAATTATTAACCATTAACCAGAAGAAAAAACTATCGTCTCAGTCTGTTCAGGTTGTTAACTTACAAGAAGTCTTTTTGGTCGATCATCTGGACTTTAGGATCAATTCGGACCAGGCCGGGTTGCTGTACTGTCTGCCTTCTACATTTAGCTCAGATGCTAAGATAGAGCACCCAAATAACAGGAAGAGAGGTTAATCAACAGATGCATATAACAAGTCTGTTCATGGATTAAATATGGTAGACTTATCCAAGCTAGTGGAACCTTTTGAGTACTAATAGATATTTGATACATTCTGTCTTTTGTCTGGTTATAACATAAACAACATGTTCAACTGCTCTCCAAATCAAGATCTAAAGAAATGGAAACTAAACTGGGAAAAAAAATCTATTGAGTTCCTATGATTAAATATACCGAAAGACCCAACATTAATATATATCAAAACAATTATGGACCGATAGAGGTTAATATGAGGAAAGGCATTGAAAGGTGGTAGACCTATCTACTGGGATTAAGTAACAGAATAAGAAGAAGAAAAATGAATATATTATCACATTTGTTGTATTTTTTTATGCCCCTGACTATAATGTCCCACAAACCCAGGTCTGTGAAATAACTATCAAGATTTATATGGGAAGGAAAACAACCAAGAATACGCTGCACTACATTATAGCTACCAAAAGTAAGATGAGGAATGGCAGTTCCAAATTAAAAATATATTAGATATATTATTTAATGCTGCCCTTCCTCAATTAAAAATTTCTGGAGTTTTTTTGTGCTATGTAAATCCCTTTTTTTGCCCCACAATGGGGAAATACACTCTCTGCATTTAACCCATCCCATTGGGGAGCAGTGGGCTGCCATTGTGCAGCATCCGGGGAGCAGTGTGGGGTTAAGGGTCTTTTACTTAGGAACCCAGAGTGCAGACTTTGGGTTTCAAGTACCCGGTTCAGGTACTTGAAACCTTTTCAGAGCACAAGCACACTGCTCTAACCAGTAGGCCAACACTCCCCTCCCCCTATTTTACACACTTTTTTGAATTCCAGCCTCATAGATTGGCACCCTAATGATTCCTTCAGAGGCATAGGCCAGTATCGTGTTATGCAAGCCAACAAAGACCTCAATGACTCTCCATTGCTAAGGGATGGACCTTTTCTTTCAATTTAATTTTCATGTTTTCTAAGCCATAATAAGGCTTTTGTTGGGCTACTCTATGAAACCTGGAACTCAACGCTAAATCCAGACATTTTGAATTGAGAAAGCTTCCTGGACGGGAAGCGAAACGTCTTCAAGCTTGGAAAACAATGTCCAGGGTTGTTTTTTTTTTTTTTACTTTTTTAATTTTGTTTGAATGACTATGACCTAGATGACTGAGAATCTTCACCAGAACTTGGCGTTCTAAAATTGATTTCTTATGATAATAAAATAAACCAGACCAATATGACTCCAAATTCAAACAGTAGAAAAAGAAGGATTAGCCATAGGAACAGCCATATGTAAAATTATTAAACAAAGTAAAATGAAAAGTTTTTAGGAACTTAAAGACATATGATCTAACAAACCAGGATCTTTTCAAATACTTACAAATGCAAGATTATTAAAAACGTCTCACGAATTTCCCTATATTTTCCAATAAGGCAGAAAGCTCTGAAATACTTGTGTCCAATCATTTTGGAAAACCTAAAACTTAAAAAATTAAAAAACTATTTTTACAGCTTTAATGTACCAAGCAACCTTTAAGTTACAGTGACTTAAGTGACTTTACATCCATTCATATTACGTCTGACTGTACATTCCTTAAAACAATAGAGCTTGAATCAGCCCAAAAATAAAAACGTGTTTCCTGCTCTTTATATTTGCATAACATGGAGAAAAAATATTGTCATCAGTTGATCAGAAACCTCGATCTACTGATATTTTTAAGCAGATACAGACCTTCGTTTGTGATCTAAAGATTAAAACTTAAATACTATACTTCTACATATTATGCAACCCTGGGACCCAGTTTCCCTGCAGGTCCCGCCCCTGCAAAAATATTTGTGTTGATCTGGATTTGAAGCTTTATCCAGGTCCTCAACATACTATAAGTCCAATAGAGCTCCATAAAGAGAATAATAAACCATTTTTTAATAACTTTAGGACCCACAAACAAGCTAAAACAATATCACTGAGACAAAGATATTTGCATGAATTAACTAAAAATAGGGAAATGCTGATAATTTTTAAATGCCTTTCTTGTCTCCAGGTACCAGAATCAGTTCTTTCACTCAGGCGGATCTGGCATCACGCAGCATCCAGTATGTGCACACCAGTGAAGAAGAAAAACACGCCGACCAGTTCTCCTTTACTGTGTCCGACGGCACTAATGAGGTAAATAAGGAGAGAGGTGCTAGAAAAGAAAAACAAACAAACATTTATTTCTTTTTTTTGTTTGTTTCTTATTTGGTGGGGATTTTTATATATATATATATATACTTTTAAGTATTATTTCATTAATGCCACTTTGGAAAGTCTGGACCTTTACTAATCAACCCTAAAAGCCTTATGGGTTTATTTTCTACATGCAGATGTTGAGTTGTTGGTGGGCTTTTGAGTATTCCATAAAGAAGTTTAAGTTTACAGTCACTGATTTCTCGCCATATTTCCGTAGAGATCATGGAGATACAGTAAGGTTCCTATCAACCAGGCCCTGAAGCAACAAAGAACATCACCGTGTTTGACTTTTTGATCTTTTATGACCTCATGTGTCAATTTAGTGGAGAAGTAACGAGAAGCACGGCAGAAAAAAACTCAAACTTCCATCTCCTCAGTCCAAAGAATATTTTACACAAAATTTTGGGATTCGAGATATAGAAATAACTCGGGTGACATTTGAAGTTGAACCATATGTATATTAAGATTTGGTTAAATTAGGAGCTTACAGTTAAATTTGTTAAACACTCAATAATTTGTTGTGTTGTTTTTTTTAAGCTTCCTTAAAGTTAGTGATACTTGCTGGTGGAATTCAATAATATTTATTGGGTTGATACTGAAAGTATCTGTACAGCCCTGTCGGTTCAGTACGCATGTTTACTAAATGAATACGGCCTTGTTCTGTGCCTGAACACATTCAGAATGTTTGGCTGGGAACTAAACGTACCGTACACAGTTCTCCAGGGGATGTTAAAAAAGTGAAGCCAAAACGCAGAGAACTCCAAGCTTTCACTAACTTCTGCTGTTTCTGTTGCATTCAAATACATCTGGGAAACCAGGGTTTCAAAATATCAAAATGGTCTCAAAGTGATTTTAAACACTTTTTATTCTAAGATTTGGAAACAGTCTTTTTTTTTTCAATGTCTCATTATCATGACTGGGTTTCTTATTGCATTTTTTATATAATTTATCCAAGCGTTGTATAAGAATTACTATGCTCATTAAATAAATCCAACCACATCTCCATTCATCTAATAACCTTGCAGTTTTAGAACATTTTAAAATAAAATAAAAAATCATGTACCGGTATTTGAAATATTCTTTTTGATTCTGACTAAAGTAAAAAAAAACAACTAAAAAAAACACTTTATTTTATTTTTATTTTTTTGATCCAACCATATGAAAAAATGCTACAAATAACAAATACTAAAAACAAATATTTGAACCTGGAAACTCACTGAAGTGGGATTTTTGTATACACCTAGACACTTAATGTGTATAGACGCAGTGTTAAATCACTACAGTTATACACCAGTAACACCTATCAAATCGTGAAGATGTCAGTATCCTGCCACATTAGCTGATAACATAATAGCTGCAATAAATTGGATTGTATAAACTTCATGCTTTTCATTCAACATGAGTCATTGTTTTCACTAATCCTTAGAGACTTTATTTGTTGACCTGTATCAAATCCATCTCACAGCAAAGCTGTTCAGGCTCTTAAATCTGCACAGCAGCATCCATATTGTAATTTGCCTCTTACATAAATTTGCCTTAATATTCATATTAATGAAAATCTCTGAGGTGAAAAGAAACATGAGATAAAGGTCATTTGTCCTTTACACCTGAGTGGTAACTCAGCTTTGTTGCTATAGTGATGGCTCAGTGCATTTACACTTATTCTCAGTTACCTATTGGAAAATAAACAGAAATGTTTTAGACGCCTTGTCTTGAGTAATTTATTTTACCTATAGAAAAATGGTAACTAATTATTTCAATGTTTATTTGACTGGTTCTGACATTTTTATGTCTTTCTCAAATGTTTAAAACCATTAATAATATTTTAGTACCAGATGAACAAAATCTTGGTTAGGTTTTTCAGTATTGGCACTCAACCTGTTAACATCACAGAAAGAGAACCTGATGGACAACATGAAGTAGGCTCAAAGATTTAAAAAAAACATGACACATCACACATTGATTTAAAAACATAAAGGTGACCAGATTAGAAACAGAGTCATTAGTATGAGTCATCCTGGAAAGGCTACAAGGCTATTTCAAAGGCTTTGGGATACCAGTTAATCACTGGGAGAGCCATTAATCAGAGGTGAACCTTCGCCCCAATCATTGGGTGGTCGACCAAAATGATTCCAATAGCATATTAATGACTCCTGCAGGAGGTTACAATAAATCCAGCATCAAATCTGAAAGAATGTAGACCTAGCTTGTTCCAGTAATGGTCTGTATTTGACTCAACAGTGATCAGTAAGGCCATAGCAGCACTCTCCAGAAAGCATCACAAAGACCCATTTCACAGTTTCCAATAAACATCTTGATCAAACGGAATATCCAATATTCTAGAGGAAATTTTCCCCACAGTGAAACACTGCGGTGGTAGTGTCAAACTTGGAGGGACCTCCTTGATTGATGGAACAATAAATTCTGGCCTCTCCCAGAAGGTCCTCAATGAAAGTCAGGGTCCATCTTGTAGCATTCTGGCTCTGTGGCAGGACAAGGATCTACAGCAAATCACCTAATCCACTTCTGCCTGGAATGAGCAATAACCTGAGATATAAATAAAAGCAGATTAGAGCTCCTTACCTGATTATTACTCTGTGCTAAAGGCTAAATGCTTGGAGCTACTGTACATTGGCTATTAGCCTGTACCTACAAAAATTGTTTTTATCAGACTATCTACAAAAACAGGTTTCATTGGGTATGATTTAAAAAAATCATCATCATTAAAACAACAGAAATTTAAAATTTCTTATTATTAGGCTTATATTCTCACCTGTCCTCACTGCTGCAGTCTATAGGCTTGTGGCTTGTGGGCGGGGGGGGGGAATTCAGCATATATTGTGATTTATAGTTGTTGAGTAAATTACCTTTTATTTATGTTTATGTATAACACAGACATTCAAGATTTGTGCTGACTTGGTGTTGTATTTTATTAAAAGTTTATCTTAAATGTTAATATTAGCACATTCCAAGTTTTTAACTTACTGATTATCTCTACTAATAATCTTAGAGATATAATAGTCATCCCATTCCAGCTACAAGTCATATAACATTATATAAGCTGCAAGTTATTGGTTCTTTCTTTCTGGGCTACAAGAGCATTTAATATTTCACAAGAACTTAAAGGTCTGTCCCACTGCAGCACACTCACTTCAATTTGTCTTGGAGTCAAACACAAAAGTTCTGCAGAAGATATACGTATGTCAGGATATGTTTAAGACCAAACTTTCTAGGTCTGACAGTTTTCTCAAACTGTTTGTGATGCATATTTTGAAATGTATTCTTGTCTGAAGTCCAAAAAAGGAAGAGTGTGCTACAGAGGGAGAAACCTATGAATAAATCCTGGGAATTCTGCACTTGAGTTATTGTTAAGTATGAAAACTACCAACAACAACATTGTTCTAGCGTTTGCTGCTTTGAGAAAAACAAAAAGAAAACTGTCCGTTTTTGCAGAGCTTTAGGTCTGTTTGTATCATCGGCTATTTGCTTGAGTTTTATAAGCAATAATACTTGCCTAACAAAAGAACGTGTGATCATTTTCTCCCTTGTCCTCACTGTTACGTGTAAAAGGCTGACGATTGGGTATTATAACCAAATCTTAAAATAAAACTACCGGTAAAGATTTTTCAAATTAGTTGCTAGTTTAGTGTTCAGCAAGAACTGACATTGGATGTGTTTAGTTTTGAAGAAACAATGATTGATAAACTGCTGCTCGCCTGCAGGTTGCTCAGACCTTTTACATCACCATAAAACCAGTGGACGACTCACTGCCGCTGCTCCAGGTCCCCGGCATGAGAGTCCAAGAAGGTGTGAGGAAGACCATCACTGAATTTGAACTCAAAGCCACTGATGAAGATACAGAGGTAAAAAGATGGTTTTAAATATTGTAAATATATATATTTAGAAATGTTTATTTAGAAAGGTCAATTTACCAAATGCTTGTTTTTATTAACTATGAATTAATTGAAAAAATAATCTTTACATTAAATAATTACCAATATAATCGATAGAGCTCCACAAAACAAACAGATCTGATTTCTGAGCTGTACTTTAAGTTAGTATTTTTTTTAAATCTCGGTAGCCCTGTGGGAATAACAAGTGAATCTCCTAAATAAAATCTATTAATCCCACATAAATAAATTATAAAAGTAATTAAAAACATCTGGAAGTCAGATTAAAATGGTATAAGATTGAACTGTTATGTAGAGGTGTAGATACTGTGTGAGGAAAGATCGTTCTCAATATTATGCATCCATCTTCTCCAACTTAGTCCTGTCAGGGTCGTGGTGGGGCGTTGCCTAGCTCCGGCAGTCTATGGGCGAGAGGCGGGGTAGAGCTTGGACAGGTCGCCAGTCTGTTGCAGGGCAACATAGAGGCACGCAACCATGCAAACACAAATACACACTTAAGGAAGACTCCGGGTCAGGATTCTAACCCAGAACATTCTTACTGCAAGGCAATATTGGTACCCAGTGCAGCACTGTGCAGCCCCGCAATATTATCATAAAAAAAATTTAACTTAATTAATTTTCAGTTTTTAATTATTTTTTATTTTATTCTCTGTTTGTTATGATGAACACTTAACATTCCGAGTCCCCACATTAATTCCGTGCTTTTTTGCAGCAGTTGTATGCTATACTGACAGGGTAGGCTTGTTTTGACGTCCAAACCTCGGCATATTGGAAGCTTTCATTTGATTCAAATGTCCTTAATCTGTAATCCATTTTCATTTGAGTGAAAATAGCAGAACAATGATGCTCTCATCATGCAAGCGTCATATGATGCTCTCATCATGCGTGCGGGATGTGATGCTCCTGTGTGTTATTTTATTCAGGGTGAGAGTAAATATTAAATAGATCTTTATTTTTACTATTTATTTTTTTTAATTCAGGACTTAAATGTATACCTCTACTTAACTTAGCACAAAGTGTGTCCTATTTCTTTTACATGACAGAAACGCCACAAATCAGGCATTAGTGTCATTTCTACATCGTACATCGTAGCATTTCAATATTAAAAACCTATTCTTATGTCTTTTTTTCCCTACAAAAACCTTAACTTCTAGCCCGAGTACATAATCTTCACCGTCGTGCAGCCTCCTCGCCACGGGACCATCGAACGCACTAGCAATGGCCAGCACTACCGGCAGACCAGTACATTCACCATGGAGGATATCTACCAGAACCGCATCAGCTACAACCACGACGGCTCCAACTCGCTCAAAGACCGTTTCACCTTCACCGTGGCGGACGGAACCAATGACTTTTTCATGGTGGAGGAAGCAAACAAGGAGGTGAGTGTTACTGTGGTGCAGCTTTGTTCCCATTTGATCTGAGATGCATGATTCAAGTGAGATGCTGCTGTGTTTGTGGGTTTTTGCACATAAAGCCTGGTTGGTAGGTGGGTTTTTATCACTTTATGGAGGGAAAAAGGTAGAATTAGTTAGTATAGGTTTAACAAAAAAGCTTTGAAAAGAAAGACAAGCTCTACTTTGCAGGATTGTTTTAAATCAGCCGCAAGCGGGGGGATTAAAAATGATAAACTGCATGTTTAAGGGTATACCACAGCAACATTGAACTGATTGAATAACTGAATGTTCTACTTTGACTAGGCCATTATTAAATCCTAATCATGTTACGAATCCCTCCCTATGTGGACTTGCTTCTGTTCTATGAATGGTCCTGCTGCATTGTTTAAGTGTTTTTAAAAGTCCCAAACTGATTGGAAATTCATTGATCTATTCATTACAGCAACTGAAGGAGCAAAGCAGCTCTAGGTGATGACATCATCAATACCATTTATTGATGTCTGAGTAGTATTTTAAAGGCTTTGTAAGTCAGATCTTTGTCTGGTCAGCAGTAGTTTTAGCCCTGGAAGTCTCCAAGGGAGGACATTTCTGCACATTCGCCCTGTCTTATTGTTAAATCATAAATTCTGTGACCAATAAGGCCTGCAGTTGTTCAGATCTTAATCTGGGTTATTTTATGTCGTCCTTTATGAGTCTTTGATGGGCTTATGCAGCATTTATGGTAGGAGAGTCTCTCAGCAGGTCCACTACTGGTTCTCTACAGTGGTTTCCAGACAGAAGGATGTCAGTTACTTTGTTTATTATCTGTCATTGATTTCATTTAGATCAGAATATAATTTGTTTCTTTTTAAGATATTTTAACTTCCTTTGTTTTCAGAGTGGCTCTATTTACTGCAGTGATTCTAAATCCCTGGAAGCAAAACGTTTATTCAGGGATTTCATGGTATAAAAGCTATTGATTTATGCTTAGCTTTATTAGTTTTTATAAATTAATATTAAAGTCATTATAATCTGAAACATTTAAGAGAGACACCAAAAGCATAAGAAATCTGTTATGGGGCAGGCATGATTTTTACAGTACTGTCAAATATTACTGCTACTGACAGGTTAGAAGCAGATTCACCCCTTTATTTCTGAATACCTCTGGTTTGATCTACAGCATGTTTAAGCCATCACTTTCTTACTTAATAATTTCTTAAAACCCCACAGAAACAACTAGAACTTTGTGAGATTCGAAGCTGAACTCGGCACATTGTGTGAACATGATAGAGAGAACTAACTGCAATTTTAACCGCATTTAGCTTTCATGTTTACACATGTTTCAGTCTTTAAGAGTGAAACTATTAAATGTATAGTGGAGGATGTTCTTTTTGCGGGTGGATCATCAAAATAAGTGGTCCTCAGAATTGTCAATCATTCTGGTGATATGTTTACGTAACGCTGTCCTATGTGATTTGCTCCATTTCGAGTGTTAGCCCAGAGGTTAGAGCAGTGCGCTTGTGCTCTGAGAAGGTTGCAAGTACCCGGTTTGATCCCCACAGCCTCCACTCTGGGTCAATGAGCAAAACCCTTAACCCCACACTGCTCCCCGGGTGCCACACAATGGCAGCCCGCTGTTCCCTAAGAGGATGGGTTCAATGCAGAGTTACATTTCTCCATTGTGGTACAATAAAGGGATTTACATTTAATGTTCACTTACTGGTGGTGATTCTGAAATACTGGAAAAAAATACAAATCTTCTTTTGGAAAGTAAGCTTGTATGAGAGATGCAATTAGTTTTTTGGGGGTATTTTGTTAGGTTTTTGCAGCACTAGTGGCTCGCCACTGTACAGTAGTCGGACATGAAAGGGGGCACAAGAGAGAGGGAGAGACATGCAGCAAAGGACCACAAGCCAGGACCCGAACCCGGGTTGGCCATGCCGAGGACCAAGGCCTCCACACATGGGTCGCACACGTCAACACCACAAACAGCAACTTTTAAACAGAGCGTGCACAAGGAAAAATGGGCTTGTGAGTGCTCTCGCACACGTTCAATAGGCATTTCCTCTTGGGAATGTGCATTTTTTGTTTTGAAGTCTCTTAAAATATCAGCAAAAATCCTCCACTATACCTTTAAGTCACACTAAAATAAACAAATTCACAACTGAATGTTGAAAAAGAGAGAACACGGGTCAATATGAAAAGTTTTCCAAATGTTTAATTTACTGACAGATAAACAATATGAAGCAAGGTAAAAATTGATTTATGGAGTCATAGAAACACAGAGCGAGACATCAAGATGCCTTAGGGGAATGGCTCTGAATAAAGATTTGTCAGGAGTATGAGGGACCTCAACAGATTAATCATCTTTTATTGTACTAGTGCCAATATCTCTGAGTGACCGATGAGTTCTGTAGTGTGCAGGAAGTGCTAAAAGGAAGATCTAGGTTCTTTGTATTGTTCTTATTTGCTTCACAAACAATCATGATTTTAAAAAGAAGTACTTTTTTTCCATGTATAAGGATAAAAAAAGCTTCTGAAATCTCAAAGCTTCAATTTAACCTCAGCTGTTCAAACCCCAGGCAGATCCCTCAGTACATTTTTATTGAATTTCCATGAAGCTAAGAAAGAAATGCTTTGGTAAAAAAAACAAACAAAAAAAAACATGCAAACTTTCTGCTTCAAGGAGATAGAAACATCCAGGAGCTGCTGATGAAATGCATAACCGACCATCGTCTTTATCAGCACCTCTATAAATTTGGGAGGTTTTGTCAGTTTTCTGGTCTGAAGCAGACGTCTGTGTTTAACACAGTGTAATAGAGCGGTGGTTTTTATATCCAGTCCTGGAGAGCAACTTTAGATTCATCCCTCCAACAATGCAGCTGAATCAAGTGATTTTATCGCTACCCGGCTTCTGGAGAGGTGAATAACTGAATGCTGATGAGGGATTTCTGCCTTTTGATACAGGAATGTTCAATTACTTCTAAAAGATACAGGATAGTAGCTGAGGAGGACCAAACCTGGACACCCCTGTCATCATAACAGCTATAAAAGAATTAAAACAACATTAAAGATCATGTCCAAACAATTTGTATTTATGTAATGCTTAAAATAGCTCAACAAGCAAGAGCTCTATTTCAAACTCAGCCCTCAGGTAATATGCTAGATGCTAAGGTTCATAACAGGATGAAATAAGCAGGCAGTGAAGGAGAAACCACCTTCTCTCTTATAAGGATATTGATTTTGGTAAACAGAGATGTATCACAATAAAGCTGCAACTAATAATTATTTTTTTAAATTTGACTAATTAATAGATTTTTTTTTATTAGTCAACTAGTCATGGTTGTTTAATTTCCATTTTCTCATTGCTTGATAACATATCTCAACTCAGTTGGTCTCTTCTACAATACTTTGCATGTCTCTTTATTACATTTTGTTTGCGACTCTCATCTAAAACCAGTATAATTGATATCTGTTTGAAAAAAATATATAAAAAGTTTTTATTTTTAACTTTTGACCCTATAGCTCTTAAAAATGCCTAATGTTTACAAGGATTTTAATTGCAGGATAAAAAGGGAAGCATATTGACGTGTTTCACCATCTCCTTTATGAAGAAATGTCACCACCCTCAACACCCAGAAATAAATATGAAAAAAATATTGACTTCCAAATAAACTTTGCAGCTTTCCTCTAAGCAGGAAGGACTTTTCTAATGATACTGCCACCTGTGGCTAAAACACAGAACTGCAGCTAACTTATCATAATTCTTGTAGCTCACACTTGTATTTATTTATGATTTCTTTAACTTTTTGACCTTATGTTGAGTTTCATTAGTTTCGTATAGATTTTTTTCTAGGTTGGACCCATTCAACATAGACAAGCTTGATGTGACATCCGCCAAACAGCGTAAAAACTTCCAACCGAAGTAAATTTATGAAAATAGGCAACCGGTTTATAGACACATAGGCGCTGAACTACTGAGGTGTCATTCTGCTCATCAAACAATGTTTCAATCGTAAAGGGTCAAAAAAGAAGACTATTTTAAAGATATTTTTCAGTTAGAACCTACATAATGTCTTTTTAAGGAGAATAAATTTATCCTATCAAACACCTTTACATTAATCTCAGCCATATACCTATGTAACAATTAAAACACTGAATTAAGCTAAACATTATCCTTTAGATATGATCTGACTAAATTATAAATGTGTTTCATTTCTCATGGGCTATGTTCCCACTGCAGCCTGAAACAACCCAAATCCCAACCCCAATTTTTTTTTTTTTTTGCCCATATGCAACCTGTATCTGATCTATTCATGACGGTCTGACCAACAAAGATCCGATTTTTTTCAAATGCGACCCAGGCCACTTGACTATGTGTCCTGAACCCGATACATATCTGATATTCTCAAATGCGACCTGCATCTGAACGGCCAGTTCAAATTCATCCAACCTGAACGTCATTATTACTTAACAAAGGTCCGTATTCTTCATTTTGCGACACAAAAGCAGGTAGAAAGACAACCATGGTAATTGATAATTTGGAGAAAAGAAAGATGTATTGTTAATGAATTGGCTCTCACTGGAAAAAATAATGAAAGATCTCTAGATGCACTTAAGCACTATCACCCTTCATTGCATCATTGCATCCTCTACTGTGCATGCAGGACAGTTAAGTTGTATAAATGCAGTTCACACGGGAGATCAAATAGAAGTCGCATATATTTGGAAATTTGTACAACCACGCAATCGAATTTCACAAAAAAAAAAAAAAACGTAATTCAGCTTTAAGGCCTGCATTGTGAATGTATCTTTAGTCGTGAAGCTAGGCAAGATTTCCAGGGAGAATCCTTTCCCTCCAAGTTTGGCTTTGACAGCTAGCTGGAAACTAACAGCAGAATGAAAGCACTGATGTACTTTGTAGCTCAGCCATATCATGATAACTAAGCAGGTATTTTTTTGTTCTTGTTTGACATATTCCTGAAAATTTAGTTTGGATTAAAAAAAAAAGACATTTTACTCAGACCTTGTGTTCTCCCCTTTCCTCTCAGGAATCATGGGATATGGTCGGCATTGCTCACCACATAATTTAAGATATACTGCCCTCTGAAGACACTGGAGGGAAATGCATATGATATACTGCCTTTAACAATGCTTTCAAGATAACAGTTTGTGCCAACATTTTCTTCTATTCGACAAAATCAATTACGTCAAACATCGTAGTCCTATAGCAGCTTAAACATTTGTCTGGAATAACATTCTTAGGAAGAAGGTTTTTTACTTTTTTCAATAGATGCAGGATAGTAGTTCTCCAAGACTTGACTTCAGCATCCCTGATATAAAGGTACCAGCAGTAGGATATATTAGATGCCATGTCTATCTTGCAACCAGCATCATCTTTCAGAATGAAGGCACTAGACAGGGGTATCTCTATAATAAATGAATGTGTACAAGAATATAACAGTTTGGGATGCATACCGCATTGTGCAAGAATAAAGATTAAGACACAACAAGAGGGCCAGTCGGACATATATCCTAAATATCTGATTGTGAAGTTGTGAAATTTAAACTTCCTAAGCACGAAGATGTTATAAAAATTAGTTTGTTTTGAACATTTCCTGCATTGAAAGAAATTCTTCTTTGTACTAAATCTGAAATAGTTGGAGAGCCTTTTAATCTTCACATTTTTCCAACGTTTTGCAAAGAAATATATGGTTTGTGGGTCGAGAGAAAAGAAAAAAAGGTATAAGAGTAAAAAGATTCAGAGTAATGTTCCTTTAACTGGCCACTAATCCATAGCTGCAAACACAGAGCTCTGATGGAAACAGCAGCGTCTGTCCCTGTGATGTTAATGTCAATTTTATGACGATGGTCGACTCCTCTGCCTGTCAGTTTAGACCTTCCTCTCCTGCTTCCTGCACCATCTGTCATTGCTAATAGTCTGTGTGATTAAACTGAAGGACAGCTCGCAGGTACTGATATTCACACACAAACACCTCTCAGGCTTTTGTTTATTACCTCTCCATCACCTGGGGACGTTCACCTCCACATCCACACATCTTCTGCATACTGGAAGCTGGTTTGTGGTGTTATTGCTGCTGATGTTCGAGGTGAATTTTCTCCCACCGGTGCCTTGTTATTAGATATGATATGAATAATGTATAAACGAGATGAATGGATCCTTCAGTGGCATGTGTCAATGTTGGCTTTAACAGCAGCTGCGTGTTGACAGGCTGCTTTTTGTAAAGTCCCTTGTTCTTCTGAGACTCAATGAAATAGCAAGTCATTTCTGTGGCTCTGTGTGTTACCTTGGTCACTCAATAAAGTAAGAACCTGAACTTTTGTAAATGAAATTAAATACAGTCACCTCATCATACTGACCATTTAAAAGTTATATATCCAGGTGGTATCATTAGGTTTAGGAGTACTTTCTATAGCTGCATTTGATGCTTCTATCCAAGAAACAGTCACTTTTTATTTTGCTTTGGTATTGACTCTTTATCCTGCATGATGGAAGCGAGAAAGTATGAATTGTTGCTGCAACAGAATCAGTATCAGTCCATCAATAAATGGAAGGCAAGTCAGGCATGTTAAAGAGCCTGTTATCGGATTCGGATGCTTGGAACACGGGGAGGAAAATTGGGGGGAAGGGGTGACAGGTCGGAGTACTAATGGGCAGGCGGAAGAGGACATGAATCAGAGGTTCCTTGCAGCAGCAATCACACTGCAGGATTTTCCCAGAAACTGTCAGACACTGCCCCAATTTTGTTATTCGTGGACTACTTTTTGAAGTGGGAGTGTGATCTGTCACACTGAATGAGCACTAATCACAGATTAAAGCTCACAAATAGACATTTTCTAACAAAAGGGAACATTTTCGATCAGATGGATGATGCACTGAGCCTTGTGTAGTTTATAATGTTACCAAACGCCTTCTTTATGGCCCCCCATAGGGAAGAGGCACAACCAAACAGAAATGGCCAGGGGTGCTTTCTATAGTAGAGACAACATCATTACTCATTGTTTGGGCTGCAATAGTTCAGCTAATAGCTTTGCTATTGAAAAACAAAGGGCAAAAAACCTGAATTATTGGGACAGAAGTCCTTTCTATCAAATATAGGTTTTACAAAAACAATATTTCTATTAATATCCCTGTCCAAAAAAGAATATGCAGCCAAGAATCATTGAACCACTTTCTATGGGTACTTTCTATGGGATAAAAAATATGTTGCTCAAAAATATAACACTGTCGAAAAGAGAGACGTAGGTCTCCACCCATAATCAATTACATTACTACATAATGGTGTGAAAGTTCTTCACAGCATAGGAACTGGAGTATATTTGGAAGTTCTGATTAACCTTCTTTGGGTCCAGATCCAGACCAGATTAACTGCTTTGTAAATCTTTGTCATATAATTAGGATGTCCAAAGGATTATAAAGGTGAAAGTCGAATTTTGTCTCAGTTGTTTAATGAAGCAACAGGGGATCATCTCCCTTCCTGTAATGGACCGCCTTGTTGGGATTTCTGCTCCTACACCTGAACTTTATGACACCATCATGAAACACATTTGCAATGCAGGCTGACCAATCACAGCAGAGCTGGCTGTTTGTTATTGACTTTAAATTACACTGATGCTACATCAAAGCTTAATGAACTCTTATCAGTGTCTATACTTGTTGGGTTGTCAGATTTTTGTCTTAAATACCCCTAAATGCATCTGCTTTCCCTGTTTCTAAATCTATTTTTAATCTATGGACTTTCCAGGTTGTAACGGCTGCTCCTCAGAAGTTTAAGATCGACATTCTTCCGGTTGATGATGGAACGCCACGGATCGTCACCAATTTGGGACTGCAGTGGCTGGAATACATGGAAAACAAGGTACAGTACAATGCAGGCCGTTCTAAGAATGCAAGTTAGAAAATAAGTTTCTCATTAAACAAATGCATTTTTTTCTCTTTTATTGTCTGTTAGATGTGGAGAAAATGTACTATTCTAAAACTTTAAATCCTCCACTTGCAGGTGTTTTTTTTTAACATAGTAAAGCAAATTATGCAACATTATGTTGTTTATTTGAACACTGTAGAAATGGCATTTTGTGAAATTATGTGCTCTGCTTGCACTGCTGCTAATTACATCCTCTGTGTTTTATCACTTAAGCAAATTATGAAAGTGTTAAACCTCTGATTCCTCTCAGCGGTTGCAGAGCAGAAAGCAAAGCCTGTTAGCGAATATTTGTGCGGTCATGAGGTGTTTTTTCAGCTGCTGCTCACGCAAACACTTGAGCTTGTTGTCATTCAAGCGTGAAACTTTTATTTAGAGTGTAAATAGTAATTTGCTTAAACTAACCAAATTAAATTTTGCTCTTCTCTGGTGTGCTGTTTTTTTGTTTTATAAAAGGTGTTGTTCATTAAAGGTAAAGCACAAACTTGCATAAGATTTTTTTCGGCATCATCCTGCAGAACAGCCTGTTTCTTTATATATATATATTTCTACAATGCTTTTCACAGTTTGAATGCTTTTAATAAGATATCTGACATAAAATTCACACCAGATGTTGTGCCTAGTAATTCATATAGAAAAGGATGTAAGTTACTCCAATCGTGTAACGGCACACCAATAGGCCCATAAGTAACATTATCTGGGTGGGCCCTATATGATGCACAACACCCCATTCCCTTACCAACAGTCTAATGAACTATACACAGTTATTAGCATAGTAATTAAAAGTACCACTCTTTGCTTTGCTTTTGGTGTCATGTTTAAGCGGTTCACCATCATGTTAAAATCTGCCATGTCTTGGGGTATAAATAAGGTCCGGTCAGTCAACCTAGTATCAGGTGGGTTTAAGAGGAATTTTTCGCACCATTACATCTGCAAAGATACGTCCTAGTCCACAATTGCGAAGGGGTCCACAAGGTGTCAGTGACGCAACTGCTGTCTCTGCTTTACCGATATGTACGGCATTGAGTTTGTCCACAGTTTAAGTTATGGTATTGTTAAAATAAATTATAACACCAGGAGAAATAGTGAACACACTTACAGAAAAGTTTTACATATTTTGTGTAGAAGCTGCTTTTGGCAATGACGACTTCAGAAACTCTCCTGTTCTAACAACCTTATTATATAAATTGGTTAAGAAATTATTTTAACCCATTGTTCTAACCACATCATGTGTGAATTTTGCAAGCCTTTTTCTTTTTCTTTAGGGAGTTTTCATAGCTGACATGTTTACCCCTGAGTTCAGACCAAACTAGCTGCATCCAGAAACATCGTCCAATCAGTCATGGTTCCAAACAAACTCTAGAGTAGTTTGTTTTTGGTGTTTATATGATTCAACCTTGATCCTATATTGCTATTAGGTAAATACTGCACGGTTGAGCCAAACATCTATTGCCAAGTATGTGTAGCATTATAGGATGCAGTAGATGCATGAAACTTATTAACAAAGGCTGTGTGTCTTTGTTTAAAGCATATGGATGCTTGTCCTAAATCCCTTTGGAATAGTTTCCTGATGATTTACATGAAGCAGAACCCAGGCTTTCCATTTAACATTTTGTATTTCGTGCCTTGAAATATCGCATACAATTTAAAAAAACCTCCCTCAATTAAAAAAAAAAAGTTGTAATGCTCGCTTGAAGTGGTACAAAACAGGAGATGGAAACACTTTTTTCAAATCAGCTCTGACGTAGCAAACTTTTATCCCTGTTACTGCTGTCGCCATCTTCATGGATGTTCTTTTTATGTGCGTAAACATGGTTGGAAGCAACGTCGTCATTGCAAGCTGACATAACCTGAGAACAGCTTTTAGATCATTTGATTACCAGTTTTCTACAAGTTAACAAACTCATGAATGGAAAATAAACAAACTATAGGTGTGAAAACTTTTATTTTCTTTCTCTGAAACCAACTAAATGTTTCCTTGGCTATTTTGAAATCCATTCTCACTTCTTTTTTTAGATTGAGTCCAGACTAACTCGTACATTTCTCCAGTATCCCTTCAATTATATGAAGTCTGCCAAGAACAACACCTGACAACCCAATTATACCACCAGGAAAGTTTCCTTTTAGGATGCTGTCTTTGTGATGATACGGAGAAGCTTTTTTTGCCTATATTAATGTGTGTTCATCTTTCTCCTCATCATTGGTGTCCTCACCATTTTCTACAATTTCCTTTCTGTAGCAAACTTTAAACAATCACTTTAATCAAATGGATTTTCTTCAGGTGTGGAGTGGACATATCGACTTTTGCTACATTCACACCGGACGTGCTTTGAGCAGCAAAAAAGCGTTCATTTTTTAAGCTTGTACACATTAAGGCAGGACGCGCGTGAAATACATTTTTGGTGCTCCAGAAGCACCTTCAGTAAAGTGTGCACAGATGATGCTTCTGTGTTCAATGGCAGAGAGTGGCGTTGCTATATTTGCTGTGATATGCTGGTAAAAAGTAATTTTAATGTATTTTTAAGTGAGAAAGACCACTTCAAAACATCTTTATTTAGCTGTCTGCGCTGCTCAGATGTTCACATACTTGCTGTGCACTGTCACTGGGAATCCCTAGAAGCAGGTGGGGGTTTTCTGCTACTGTTCGTTGTGGCTGGAAGTAGATGTTAGCGTTTTTCAGGTATGTGGTACAAACTGCAGCCACCTGAATAATAAAAGCAAACATACTTTGCTGGCAGGTTTCAACATTTTAAGTTAATTTAAGCGTTAATAAACAGCTTCAGAGGAGTTATTACAGCACTCTGCATCAGCAGCGCTGTTTGTCCACCTGCCGGCTCCCAGATCAGCTTCTGTAATTGGTTGATGTGGTCAAAAGTTCAGTGTTTCAAACTCCAGCAGCTGCTGCTCTCACAGCGCATCGCGCGTCAGATGCTCAGAAGCTCATGAGGCGCTGCTTCGGCTGCTCAGATGCCTCACGATGCACTGCTTCTGCTGCTGGAGATGCGCTGCAGGACCTTTAGATGCACCTTGATGCGCGGCAACCATAGACTTGGCATGACAAGCTACTTTTGCTAATTCAATTGGATGCGGTGTGAACCTACAATATAACTTTTTGTTTTCCTGAGAAAAACTTTTTATAGCTCTGAGCAAGTCCTCCTTTGCTCCTGGATAAATCTTTTGACTATTCCATGAAGTCGCTCATCAGAGAGAGTACAAGGAGCATCTGGTTGATAAAGAAATTCTGGATCATGAATGATTATGATGGCTACGTGTTCAGAAATTACACTTCATCCATTGCCTTATGTATGTTTCACAAAAACCTTTTTAAATATCTTTGCCTTTCTCCGTGTGTGTAATAAATTGCTGATAATGAACATTTTTATAGGCCATCAGTTAATAATCTTTTGATTTTGGACAAAGCACTAGCAGGAATACTTTCTAAAACTTCACAATTAGATACCCATGATTGATGCGCCTCCAATTTGTAACTCATAGCTTCACAAATGTTCCTGATGGAGCCTATTTTATGTTCAAAGGCCACCAATCTAATTACAAAGAAGGAGCTGCTGACGAGGGATCCAGACACTGACGACGGACAGCTGGTGTATGAAATCACGGCGGAGCCGAAGCACGGATTCCTGGAGAGCAAGCTCAAACCTGGAAACCCTGTCACTACGTTCACACAAGGTAAGAAGTTTGCTCTACATCTTTACTTCTAGCCTCTTCCACTTGGATCTCAATCGACAACAATTAATTCCTCCTATTTTCTCTCAAATCCTTCCTTCAAAAATTGTTCTGTACAAATACAGTCACTGTTTGTATGTTTAAGAAGCTGAAACAATGTCCTCATATTGTCTCTCCAATTATTAATCCAACAATTTAAAATACTTGTATTTTTTGTAAGTTTTAATGTTTTAATTATAGCAGCAAAATATAATATACTATGTAATATATATTTTGTGTTTTTTAACATGAAAAACACCCATCCAGAGGATACTGAGATTCGATCTTTTTAGACCGTCACTTTCTTAAACAAAATGAGTAGGATATTAATTGACCTCATCATGGTTAGTCCTGACACATCAGGGTTATAATAATAATAATAATAATTGAACTTTATTGATCTCACATTGGAGAAATTTACCTCTGCATTTAACCCATCCCCTTGAGGAGCAGTGGGCTGCCATCGTGGGGCGCCCAGGGAGCAATCATTTGAATTGATTTGGTTCAGTTTCATGTGTTTCTACTGCCCCCTCTGTCCATTCTAATTAATGAGAGTTAAATCAGCCTCTGTTTGTGTTGTACAGTATAGTAACATCCTTATACTTTACCATCATGTACTGTGGGATTTGTTATGTGTAAAGTACAGATCTCAGGATTTTTCCTTCGTTTACCACTCACAGCTTTTTGAGATGCTCCTCTGCCGTGTCTCACCTAAAGGTTCCCTTGTTTATCTAGTTAATTAGCACTTTTGATTCTGCAGGGTTTTCATTTGGAGTCTGTTTTTATCATGTTCACCTTCTGGCTGCTGCTTGGAATCAGTGTCAGGCAGCTTTTGTGAGATGTTGATCCTTCAGGCTGGAGAGGGACTGCAAACAGTCCTTTTAATGTGTTAGGTGTTCAGTTTGGGGTACAGAAATGCAATTTTCCTAATGATAAGAAATATTTAATGAGTAAGTTTTCCCCCCGGACTAAAATAAAATGTTTCCACACTGCTGTATATATTTCTGTGCCTCTGCCTCTTGTTTGGCTTTTGGTTGCCCTGGGCATCTCTATTTGCCTTTACTCAAAGTCTTACATTTTCTCCATCCTCTTCTGGGAGGTATTGGAGAGCGAAAAATATCAGCTAGTGATGATTTTTCTAATTTGAACTCTAAAGTAATGGAAAACAGCCAGGGGAGGCATAATGTAAAATGATGAATTTAGAGGAAAGGCAATCTTCACAAAGGATTTTGTTTTTAACATGTCATCCTCCTCAAAATGGAGCGTTAAATAACCAAAACCTGCCAATTTCCTTAGAGGAAATGAAATTGCTACTTTTAGAGCTTTTTGGCAAAATTTGAGTCACGATTTGAAAATTAGGCAGCAACAATCTTTTCTTTTTCATCATTGGCTTTGTAAAAACCGTAAGTACTCAAATCACCACTCAAAGTTAAGATCTCGGTTTTTATTCATAATTTTCTTTTGTTTTTTCCAAAAATACCCTAATTGGCTCTGCTTTATAGTGAAGAATGAAATCCTAAATTTGGCAGTTTCATTTGTTTTCCTGCTGTAAAAGCGACACTGTTATACTTTTCTAGTTAATTCTGATAATTATGTTTATATTTTGCTGAAATCTAAACTGAAGCCATTTACAGGAAAGACCTGATAGTGTTGCCAAATGCACAAAAGTTCACAGCATTGTCACCTCAGTGTCCAGGAATTTCACAAAGCCCTGACAGCAAAATTTACTTGCCCAGAATCTAATAGACAGACAATCAGTGATAATAACACTGTAAATATTGAAATCTAATTTAGTCTATTTTTCTTGAAAAAAAGTGTTTCCCTTCTTTTGAGCAAATAAGTTAAAAAAAATTGCCATTGAAATAAGATATTAACATTTAAAATAAGAAAAGACTGACTCCATTCCCTTATTTCAATTTAACAATATTTATTTGCCCTCTTTTAAGGCCATAACTATTCATTACATTGGCAGATGATCTCATTTACCTGTTAAGATTAAGATATAACATACCGATTTTGCTCATTTTCAGATAATGTTTTTGCAGTGAAAATAGTAACAAATTACTCCAATAGGTGGGGTACCAGGGCATCCTTCACAGTCAAACAGCACAGTGGAATTCAAGGGACCTGAACCCCCAACAGGGACCTGTCTTATCCCCACGGCTGAATTGTAACATCTTCTAGAGCCATAGACCAGGAACCCATATTTTCTATATGAAACACCACATTTGTGTTTTGAAAGGGTGATCTTTTCATTTTTATCTTCAATTTGATCCATTATTCCTGTGCTACCAATTATTTAGTTTTTAGCAAGATAAAAAAACAAAATTTATATTTAGAAGTGTTAGATAATTTTTAGTTGTTTTAAGACTGAGGTCTTCAACAAGGGGTCCACGACCCCTAGAGGGTCCACAGAGGTACTGTGGGTCGCAAAGGTTTTGTTTGATTTTTCTAACTTTTTTTTATATTCCCCCTGCAATTTTTTCCAATAATTGAAATTTATTTAAATACTCATTAACATGAATTCAAAACACTGTAGTAAACAGATAAATGGAGGCAGAAGATGTCTTTCAGTCATCAATCCACACATTCAGCGACTTACAGGAGCTCTTTCAAGCTGGGAACCGTTTCATTCACAACACCTGTCCCATCAACCAGGAATCAGAAATACTTTAATAATCCCAAGGAGAAATTCCTTTTGTTACATTACTCCATGTATAATAGAGTGACTATTGGAACAGTTTGATGAACACATTTCATACAATATATATAATTAGGGGGTCACCGCTCCATCTCGCCTTCATTTTGGGGATCCTTGGCCTGGAAAATGTTGAAGATCCCTGTTTTAAGACATAATTTAAACCACTTGCTTTGAATACCATTTTCTGTGGGATTGAGTTTTTTTTTTCTTGATTTTAAACACCCATTTTTGCAGCGTAGGTACAAAACTACGGTTGACTTTGGCTTGTAATGTGCTTTATGAATAAATAGAAAACGATAATTTTGACATGCTGCCTTTAAAAGGAAGCAATTCAGGTATCTAAATGTCATGTACAGGAATGATCTGAAGATATAGGAGATGAATAGATACAGTAGAGAGGTCTTGGTTTTATCTGCAGTAATAAGAGCCACTCAGCCTTGGGCTGTTTCGGTAGAAATAAAAAAGTGCTGAACTAGTAGATATCACTACTTTACCAATTTATTTTTAAAGCACCTTAAAAGAGCAACAAGGCCAAACAAACTACTGCACAACTAGAGGACACAATAAGTACATAAAACAGCAAAAGTGAGAAAAGAAGCCAAAAGCACAATGAGGTCCCAAACTGACAGAGTAATTGACCATGGCGTCAAAGCGCAAGGACTTAATAACAGCGAGAGAAGGAGTCTGCCTCATATAATCCCTCATATCTGATGGATGGAGTTCATAAGTCCATCAGGTCACCTGACCTTAGGCAACACTCTAATTACTACAGCAGAAATAGCTGATGAGATATCTTACAAGTAAAGTTTTAAAATGTAATCAGAAGTTACCTAGAAGACAGGGTATGAAGTCCAGAACTAGAAAAATATGGTCTGTTTGATACATTTCTTAGTTTATTGGTCCATCTAGCTTCTAGCCGTTACCCATGGCTATAAGAAAAGGATGACGGCTCAAAATACAAAACCTTAAACACAATCAAAAATGTTTAAATTAAAAGTCCATGTCTGATTTCTCAACCCAAGGATGATTCAGGATTTCAACCAGATAAAGTCCCCCCCCAAATTCTATGAAACTCGTCATCTATTCAAGATTTTGTCTTTAAGGCACTCCCATCACATGTTCAACTTTAAAATAATCCCAAACTGGAATTTTCCCATCTTTAATCCTTCTAGCTGATATCAACCTGGGTCTGATCCGCTACGTGCTGCATCAGGAAAACATCCAGGAGACCATGGATAACTTCAAATTCCTGGTCAAAGACAGCAAACCAAATGTGGTCAGCGACAACGTCTTTCATATTCAGTGGTCTCTGATCAGCTTTGAGCACAAGAGGTCTGTATCATTAAAGCTTTTTAACAGACCGTGCACCACTTCCATTTTTACACCTTTAAAATGAAAAATAATGTTGCACTACTCCTATTCCCCTCAGTTACAACGTGAGCGAAAAGGGAGGGACTGTAGCTGTCACTGTGAAGCGAACCGGTAACCTCAATCAGTACTCCATCGTCCTCTGTCGCACTGAGCAAGGCAGCGCTGTTTCCACCAGCAGCACTGGGACTCACCCTGGCCAGCAGGACTACGTTGAATATGCTGGACAGGTACCTTTTCCATAGGAAGCCTACCTGGACATTTTTACGTACACCATCTAGCAATAAACTTTCATCTTCTTGGTTCCCTAGGTCCAGTTCGACGAGCGCGAGGACTCCAAGGTATGCACCATAGTGATCAACGACGACAAGGTGTTTGAAGGGATCGAAAGCTTCAACGTGGAGCTGAGCATGCCTGTGTATGCGCTGCTGGGTGAAAACACACGCGCTGTGGTCAACATCAACGACACGGAGGACGAGCCGACTCTGCAGTTTGACAAGAAGACGTACCACATCAATGAAAGCACTGGCTTCTTCAGCGCCCCCATCGAGAGGAAAGGTACCAGATCATCAGTTAAACTATTTACACAGTTCTTGTACATTCCTGGCTAAATCAGCTGAGCCACCACATTGGAGTTTTTTATTTGTTCTTATTTTTCTGACTGGTCAGAATTGTCTGTCCTGAGTATTTCTTCAAAATGTGTAGGTATATTCTGATGTTTGCAGATGATATTCTGATCTATGGTGATAGTAGAGGATTAGATACAGAGACAGAGCTTTAAGAAGGAAGAAAAAGACGAAAAGCTCAGGGAAAGGTCCAGAATATAGTGAAAGAACATATGCAGTGTGTTTGGTTGGACAATGCCTTGCTGCCAAAAACTTTGTCCACAACTTAAAGTAAATAATACCTACATAAAAGCACCAAGCTACCTATTCCTTCCCAAATATTTTAAGCCTTTTAAAATAATGTCTAAATAGGAAATAAATCTTTTTTTACAGCAATTGATGTTTACAGTGGGTCCATTTCCCATGTGACATTGAGGTTATGTGGTATTCAAGTTCCAGCTCAAAAAAAATGATTGATGATGGCAAAACTAGTCGACATAAGTGATAAATCTGGCTTTAATAGTCTAATAATATTCATTAAATCAAAAATGATTTTATAATATGCCATTTTTTTTTTTAAGTTTTAAAAATCCTAACCCATTAAACAACAGACTTTTTTGCTCACCGCTGCATGTTTTAGGGTGACTAGATCTAAAAAAACAAATAAACTGTCTCTGCTTTTAACCCATCTCCAGTGGTTAGCGGTGGGCTGCCATTGTGCAGCGCCTGGGGAGCAGCATTGGGGTTAAGGGTCTTGCTCAGGGAGCCAGAGTGGCAGTATGTGGGAGTGGGGCTTGAACTCAGAATCTCTGCGATCCAAGCACAATGCCCTAGCCACTAGGCCACCACTCCCTTAACTGAAGAGCATAAAGTGACAATAGCCGAGGATTAAGATGCACCGTGAGGCTTTGCTACAATAACAAAAGCACCGTTACTGATGGGTATCTGAAGAGAAAACGTAGTCAGTTACAGAAAAAATTATTTTCAAAGGTTTTTTTAATGCATCTGAAAGCAAAATTAGTTTTTTTATCTGTTGCATTTATGGCTAATAAACAGTTATTCTAAATGTTTAGCTCCAAATATGTCTGCTCAGTTTTCCAAACTCAAAGAAAACCGTTTATAGATCAAGTAATTAACATTCCCGTAAAAGAGCAGTTTATCAAAATAAAAACCTTTTTTTGTATGGATTAAACTACAGTACTGTTTGGATAATTATCATTGGTGATGTTTGAAGTTTATTACACCTTAATATTAGCTGTGTGTTGCGTATAAGAAATGATGTTTTCCCCAGAAGTTTATCTAATTAGGACAGTTCCTCTGTCCGGATATACAGTTATAATTTTCATTCTGTATGTGGCAAATATTTGGGAATGGAATGAGAGCGGCGTACTTCAGCTAAGAACAAAGAGTAATAAGAGTAATATTTTGATAAGGCTGGAGCCATGGATGTCTCCTCGTCTGCAAGCGTGTATGATGTAACGATGTGATGATGTGGCAGACTGAAGAATAAAATGCTTCTCTACCTGGTTCTCAGGGCCACTTCCCCTGGGGTTAGCGCTACCTTCTATAACTCTAAGCAACTTCTCTGATCTTAGTAAGATTACAATTTCTATCAAAATCTGTTGTCATGTCTCGTGGTTACTTAATACATATAAGTTATGAAGTGTTATTTAAAAAGTTTGTCCAGAGTGATTTCTTTTCAGGAAAAAGAACCTGAGAGAGAAAACTTCAAGGTGTAAACACAGAGCAAAAAAATTTTTTAAAAATTTGAAAAAGTTCTGTTTTATTCTCCCTGCCTCTATTTATATGTCAAAAGGCAGATATAATATATATACATGATTGTTTTGATTGATCCTGGTACAAATTCTGTAGGCGCCACCGTGGGCATCTGATTAAAATGCAGGCATGATGAACAGGTCCAGAGTATTTATTAAAGTTGTATCTTGAATTGTAACATTGAAGTTTTAGAAGTTGTGATTTGGTTTATGAACACACAACGTCCAAACGGCACAAAGGTCCACAGAACACAAGGGGTCCTTTCACCTCTCTGTCTCTCCGTCCGTCTCTCCATCTGTCTCTCCGGGTTGCACGCCCAGGACGCATGGACAGCCAGCAAGAGGCTACCTGCTCATATAAAAGGTTCCTCGTACTTCACAACAATGACCTATTTGACCATTTTGGTAATGCAATAAAATATTGATTTAGAGTGTATTATAATTCTTTATAAATTTAACTTTTAAAACTAACTCCAGGGTTTTAAAATCCAATAACCTCTTATTTGTACTTGATTGTAAACACATCTTCTTCTTTATATTTTCTTTTCTGTTAAATATATAGGTCTTTTTTCTAAATATCTTCCAATTGAGCAACCCTTTGATCCCAAAGTATTACTGAAATTAGTGGACACTTTCAGTGGAGCCTAATGAGTTTTATAGTAAAATATATGTTTTTAATTTTTAAAGCCCCATTTCCCAAATGCCCTGGGAGAGATGACAGGATGTGAGCACATGGAGAAATTCTGTTTTGAAAAGCAAAACAAACAGGAACACATGGTTTCAACAACATATCAAAACTTTTGATGGGTTCAACACTATCTAACAACACATCAGGGGGTGGTGTTGGTGACCTGTGGACCTCTGGCGCATGTCTTCCCCCTCTGTGTCAACCTTATTTACTGTCAGTAAACCATTAAAACAAAGGCTACTATTGCTAAAAAAAAAATAAAAATCTGCACATCATCCAAAGCAAATAAATTATTGGTGAACTGATTGATTAAAACTTGGCAGGGCCCCTGAATATGGAGGCCCTTCACACTGTGGTAACCAGCATCCTTCTGTGTGCTGCAGCGTGTTAGGGAGGCAGTCTAAGGTTATTAGACATTAGAAGGAGACAGAGAAGGAAACGCTAGCTTAGTGCTTTGCTCTTTATAAATGGGCGGGACGAGGGCCCCCAGAAACAAGCAGTTACGAATGATGGACGATGACAGAAGCCCACCTTACAGCGTTCTGACCAGAACAGCAGCTTTAGCAGCTTATTCTCATTTTACTCCATAACTGAGCGGTTGAACGTTGTTGTTGCTCCCAGGCTGATTTGACTTTTAACCATATATATATATATATATATATATATATATATATAGTCCGCTTTAAAATATCATTTTATTATTTCTTTATGTGGAAGATTCTCTGTGTGCTACTGGATGTGATTTCCATTCAAAGGTTTCTAGTGTCTCCCGAGCCGACCAGGCATAGGCTAATTAAACCACTACTCAGGGGCCCCAGTCTATCAGGGGCCCTCGCATATATGCTTGAATTTTAGGGCAGATCAGAGATATATGTTTTTTATTTGTCTAATGAAAATGAGAGTACTACAAAATCATTTTGAGCTTTCAAAACAGATAATTTAAAGATTTGAAACAGCTTGAATTGAAAATCTAATATTTAAACGAACTGGTAAGTTAAATTTGAAAGTGTTTGGTGGTTATGTTCAGATAGCTGTATACTCATTCTTCCCTTTTTTTATTTTATGTTTGTTTATGTATAAACCTTTTGGCTCATTTTGAGCTATCAGAGTTTCCTTTTTATATCCTGTTATTCTATATATTTAGCTTTTTAGTGACATGAATATTTAGGTTTGTTTTCATTCTAAAGGCAGCATTTTATACTTATGTTTCTTATGTTAAAGTACACATTGTATTTTGTGGGACGTTTTAATGCAAAAGTTTATTGTAAAACTAAATTGAAAATTATTATCAAATATTGGAAAAAAATAAATCCACTATTATTTCTTAAAGGTAAAGAATCAGAGCTTATGTCTGTACTCTCCATCTGCCACCTCCCTTTCATTCAGGCGACTCCTCCAGCACCGTGTCTGCTCTCTGCTACACCGTGGCCAAATCTGCTAAGGGCAGCAGCCTCCACGCTCTGGAGTCCGGCTCCGACTACAAGAGCCGTGGAATGAGCAGCGACAGCCGCGTCATCTTTGGCCCCGGCGTCAGCATGTCCACCTGTGACGTTAAGCTCATCGACGACAGCGAGTACGAGCTCTCAGAGGAGTTTGAGCTGGTGCTGTCGGATGCTTCTGACAATGCCCGCTTGGGAGACGTGTCGTCAGCCAAGGTTGTTATCGACGGGCCCAACGATGCATCGACTGTGACGCTTGGAAATGCGACCTTTACCTTCAGCGAAGATGTTGGTATGAGCCGCATTCTTACATCCCAATTAATAAATAATCACATAATCTAACACAAAAACCAAAGAAAGGAAACAATGTCAATTCAGATGGCATGTTTCCCTAACTTTGCTGGGGTTTCTGCTGTCCAGGAACCATAGAGATACCCGTGTGGCGTCAGGGAAGCGACCTGACTTCTGTGACGTCCGTTTGGTGTGCTACCAGACCTTCAGACCCCCCCTCAGCCAGTCCAGGCGTTGATTACATCCCCAGCTCCAAGAAGGTGGAGTTCAAACCTGGAAAAACCGAGGAGGTACCAAGAGAGACGACTCTTTGTATTATTCTTGGTAGTGTCCATGTAGTACTGATGATTTAATTCTTTATAGGGCACTCAATGAAATACTTTGAAAATCAAAAATTCAGACCAATAGTGTTATTTAAATCCAGGACAAGACCTTATTACCTTTATAATATTAAAAAAATATGGATATTTTGATGGCAAAAATGATGTCAATGTAATAATAAGAAACGCCAACCTGTCCGAACAAAAGTGTTTCTATAAAAAATTCATGAAAACCACTCAAAAACAGATTTTTTTGGTACAACATCACAGTGGCATCAATACCTACATTTTTTTTAGTTTATAAACCTAAATATAATTGTTAACTATGCTTATTAGCTTTTTAACTTTTTTTCTTACTTGTTAACTTGTGCTTACAACTTAATTTACAGTAGGTAATATATCATTTAAGGGCTCATCTAATTGGTCAAAAGCCAAAATAAGATGTATAGCCATTAACAGTATCTTTGCTGGATGGCTGGAGATCTTGTGCTTCTAGATCTCACTGAGGAGAGGGGGGGGACTCCATGTGTAAGGGGTATGCAGGTGATCAAAAATGGCAACTTGCCCTATAAAGGGTTAACGGGGCATCTTGAAGGGTTTTGATGCATTGCCAAACTGTATCAATACTGTGTTGATACTGTCTCATGGAACACTGACACCTGCTGGACCTTTAAAGACACTACAGGCAGCTTATTTTACAGACTAAACTGAATTGATTTGATGACCTAGTGCAAGAATATCATTAAAGGTTATATTGTATTATTTCATATTTATGTTTAAATTGAAAATAGCCTTGTTACTTTTAGATGGAACCAATAAATGATGTAAACATATATAATACAATGAAAAATTACAGGAAAATGTGAATGAGAATGCTTGTGGATTAGATGTCACGATTTGTATGGAGGTTGATTGAGGACCCAAATGCAGAGACCAGGAAGCTGAGATGAAACATGTAGATTTAATGAGTAAATGAGGCAAAATACAAAGAAACAATGACCAGTAAACATCAAGGGAAATGCATGGGAGGGAGCCAGAGATGAGGAAGCAACAAACAACAAGGAAGCAGCACTGAGTGACTGCAGAGGTGGAATATATGAGGGGAACAGAACAAAGGATGGACTAATGAGCTCAATAAGGAGCAGGTAGGAGTGGAACTAACTATAAGGACGCAGAGGGGAAAGGAAACAAGCACAAGGAGGCAACAGAGAGTAACCAGACTGCTTGAATATAATGGAAAATAAACCAAAGATCGACTAAATAGAATAATTGACTGAAAAATATAAACTACTGTTGCGCCGATCCCATTCTTTGGCCCTGATACCAATATCTGACTGTGCAGTATTGGCCGATACCGATACCATCTGTTTGAAATTGATGTGTGTATATATAGGGAGAACTGCAAACTACTTGGATGTAAAATAATTGCCATCATGGCTTTGTCAAGCTGCTTCCTACCTTTGTGAAGCAGGAAAAAGACAAATACAAAGTGAATCCAGTAGAACTTTTTGTTGCCTACCTGGAATGGGGGACAATAGTTGAATAAACTTTTGGCTCTCAAAATGGTATCGGTGCCCTATTTGTTGGTACTCGCCGATACCGATACCACCATTTTAGTGCTGTATAGGGGCACTGCCCAATACTGGTATCGGTATCAGTGCAACACTACTAAAAACTCAGAGTCCCAAAAGGGGAAAACCATAAACACTAGGTTTTTAAATCATAATTTTAAAACAATAAGTACAGCAAAAACTGCAAGAAAACTAAGAGTCCATTTGAAATTAACTTTAATTCAGATAAGCTGAGTGATAACTCAGAGGAAAAGTATTACACAACGAGAAAAAAAAAAAAAAAAAGCAATGGCTGAAACGTTCCTATTCCTTTTAGGCTGCTCCAAAATTTTGATAATTTAAATGATAAACCGCAAAAGATGGGATATTTTTTAGCAGATGCATCATGTTGACAGATACCTTTTTAAACACAGTTTAGTTAGTCAGTTAGAAACAACTCCTGTATCGTTCACATGACTTTCTTGAAACGACATGTGCACTGATGCAGCATCTTGCTCTATGGACTCGACGCATGCGCCGCCATATCGGTGTTGCTGGACCCATCACATGTAGGCTTGTTAAAATCACAATCATCCATTAAAACAGCAGATATTGCAATTAGATGTAATTTTCTTAGAGATGTATGCAGTGACCTGCATGCTTTTTACGATCTTGTAATCAGTTCACATCCGTTTCCAACAGAGAAGAAATAAAAATCCAGGATGCTGAGGGACTTGGAAATAAAGCAACAACTGAAAATGTTGCATTTTTGTTCATTTCACTTTACCAGCAAGCAGTCAGAGGAATAATCAGCCTCATGTTGTGGTGAGGCTATGACTGACCTTCAGAGAAGAAAACACTCACAGAAGCTTTAACAGGAGTTATCTCCATCTCAACAACAGAAAAATCACTTAAAAGGCTATCAGATTAATGAAGAATACAATTGAATTTAACTCTAGCTTAAATTATATTATCTCATGCTTAAAGGTGAAATTACCCTTCAGAATCATTTTCTTTCCTTTATTTTTGTGGAGCAAGGGATCACTGGAGTTGAGTAGATTATAATAATCTGTCTTTCTGTCCCGGTTCCTTGGCTTAAATCCTATAGAAATGCAAAGGGATGAGCTAAAGGGAAGGGATGAGATGCAGGGATCTGGACAATGAGGAATTATCCTTCTCTCTATGATCTTAAATCGTAATAAATTGGCAAACCTTCCTTTGTTTTTTTTTTTTTGTTTTTTTTTTTTAGACCTGCAGTTTGACCATCATGGATGACATTCAGAATCCATCCATCGAAGGACCCGAGTCGTTTGTTATCTTCCTCAGTTCTCCACAGGGGGCAGTCCTGCAGGAACCCTATGAGGCCAATATTGTCATCACTGACACCTTCCAGGACAGTATGTACCTGAACCAAGGCTCTAGATTTACATAAGTTAAAGCCAGTTTAGAAGCACTTCTCTGAAGCTCATCTTCTTCTTTTGTCTCAGTTCCTACCATGCAGTTTGAGAAAACCTCCTATACTGTTAAGGAGAAGGACACGGTACTTCACCTCCCAGTCATCCGGACTGGAGACCTTTCCTTCAAGTCATCAGTGCGGTGTTTCACTCGAACCATGTCTGCCATGGTGATGGATGACTTTGTGGAAAGAAGGAACGCTGATGAATCCCAGATCACTTTCCTCAAAGGCGAGAAGGTAATATGCTGACCCAAACTGTCAAAAACAAAACAATGTTTGGTGTATTGGTGAACTTACGTCTTTGTTGGTTTATCAGGTGAAGAACTGCACAGTTCACATCAACGACGACTCTGTTTTTGAGCCTGAGGAGGAATTCCAGCTGCATCTTGGTACACCGCAGGGTGACCATTGGAGCGGTGCGATGGTTGGAGTTAATGACATTGTGACAGTCACCATAACCAATGATGAAGATGGTAAGTTGACCCTGAATATTTGACAAACTATTACCTGCAGCTGGTGTAAACCCACTGTGGAAAACTCCCAAATGTGTAGAAAAAAGCTGGACATGCTGTAGAGATCACATCCTTCAGCAAATCAGCTTTATTCATATGAACCTTTTTCAAATTTCAAGTGACACAAATGATTTTACAGTAAGAAAAGTATAAAACAAAGAAAAATGAAAGATGCTGAGCAAGAGCTCTAGAAACGTACATAAAGAGCAAAACTAAAAAGCATCAGAAGGGATTTTGAAGAACTGGTGCTGGGATAAAGACAATGGCGTAACTATCGGTAAGCAGAGACTGCAGTTACTTAGGGGCCCCCAACAATTTAAGGGCCCCGTCACTGACACCTGGTTGGTCCACTACGCAATTGTGGACTAGGATGTCTATTTGCAGATGTAATGGTGCGAAAAATTCCTATTTCACCCACCTGGTGCTAATCTGTCTGACCGGACCTTATTTATACCCCAACACATTCCAGATTTCAACATGATGGTGAGCCGTTTAAACAGGACACCAATTGCAAAGCAGAGAGTGGTATTTTTAATTACTTTGCTAATAACTGTGTATAGTTAGTTAGACAGTTGGTAATGGGTGTTGTACTTCATATGGGGCCCACCCAGATAATGTTGCTTATGGGCCTATTGTTGAGTCGTTACGCCATTGGATAAAGAACCACTCTTCCAAGTCCCAGGTCATGGTTCTAGACTGTAAAAAACTTTCAGTTGCAGTAATGCAGATACTGCTTCATTCCATTAAGGTGAAGAGAGAGTGAACTGGAAGGAGAGGTTCCTGATAAACTGATCAGTGCCCTTAGGTTTTTATTTTATATGATCTTTATTTATTTAATCTTTATTTAACAGAAAACCATAAGCCATTGAGCAGACGGATGCTAACTGGGGGAAAATAGACAAAAATGTTTATAAAGCAATGTATAACTTGTGCATGTTGGGATAAATCTGTGCATTTAAAAGTCTTTTAGATTCATGGATTTCCAAGTGTTTTGCTAAATTATTGAGTGAGAACTAAATTAATAGATTTTCTTGGGTTGCTTCTCTACTCCAAGGATATAACTGCTAAATTTTCTATGTTTAAACTTGAGTTGTTCTTGTTCTTTAGTTCTAACAATGTTTTCAACCAACAGACACATTAATCCTGTTGAACATCAGCTGATTCTATTGATTGTCTTCTTCTGTCCCCCCCAGCTCCCACCATTGAGTTTGAACAGGCTTCCTACCAGGTCAGAGAACCTCCTGGTCCAGACGGTGTTGAGGCGCTCAACATCAAGGTGAATCGCCGTGGAGACCTAGACAGAACCTCCAAGATCCGCTGCAGCACCAGGGACGGATCGGCCCAGTCTGGAGTGGATTATAATCCCAAGAGTCAGGTCCTAAAATTCACCCCAGGTCAGTGGAGAGAACCTCTGGTCCACTTTCCAGTGTGGGACTTCACAGGGGTTAGACTGTCTCTTCTTGTTTTTAAGGCATGGACCACATCATGTTCAAGGTAGAGATCCTGTCTAATGAAGACAGAGAGTGGCATGAATCCTTCTCCCTGGTTCTTGGTCCTGATGATCCGGTGGAGGCTGTGCTCGGTGAGATCACCACGGCAACAGTGACTATCCTGGATCAGGAGGCTGCAGGCAGTCTCATCCTCCCGGCACCACCGATAGTAAGAAGAACCTCTTTGTTCTCTTGAAATAATCCCTATCTTTTTTTAAACTCTGAATCCCCTCCTTTCCTTCCTCTTCAGGTGGTCTCTCTGGCTGACTATGATCATGTCCAGGAGGTGACCAAGGAAGGCAGTAAGAAAACTCCCTCTCCTGGCTACCCTCTGGTCTGCGTGACTCCCTGTGACCCCCACTACCCAAAGTACTCCGTAATGAAGGGGCACTGCGATGAGGCGGGAATCAACCAAACCCAGGTGCACTTTTCCTGGGAGGTGGCAGCACCAACGGACTCAAGTGGAGCTCGTTCCCCGTTCGAGACAGTGACGGACACCACCCCCTACACCAGCGTCAACCACATGGTGAGACGAGATGGTTCACTGCGGGAACAAAGATAACATGGTAGATAGGAATGGAATGAAATAATAAAGTTAGGATTTATTGTCAATTTATGGTTTATTTAGATCAAAATTTGTTCCTTCAGATTAATTGATAATGTCTACCGTATTTCCTGGACTATACGCACCTACATTTTTTGCAAGATTTAAACCAAGTGGCTTATCTGCTAACCATCAGGAGTCGGAAGTCAAAGTTGGTAATCAAAGAAGAAGGGGCTAATTTTCATTTAGAATATTCATTCAGAGAACAAATGCGTTGTTCACTCATTTTAACATTGATTTGCAATAAAACTGTTGAACCAATGAAGAGACTTTGCTTCAGAGCTGAAATAAAGAGCTGACGAAGTCCCGTCTTTCATTAGAGGCTTTTATTGCTGTGAGCCAACAAGCTAATAGGAACTGGTATTCTTCGTCCCCTACTTAAATTTCTTACAGTGATGTTACTGCTGTTCACCAGAGTGCGCTGTCGTTCATTCTAAAGCAGAGCCTCACTAGTTTTTTCAAGAGAAGTAATTCTAGAGCAAAAATATGAATCGATCCACAGTCCGGTCCAGGATTATTTAAACTGTTTAACAGTCACAAGGATGCAGAATGAGCTTCATGGGGTTCTGTTTGTAAATATGAACATTTGATGAGCTCCTTAATGGTATAAGGGAGGATTTTCCCTCATTTCAATTTTTAAAAAATGCGCATGCACAATCTGTACCTGCTCCCGAGAGGGAACGCCTATTAAAGTTACAACATATAACTAGCATGATGACTTTTATTAGCAGTGATGTTAAATTAATTTCTCCAAATAACATTCCAAACTTTGCCTGTCGAGTAGAAACTTTGCAACCGATGCATCAGTGGGAAGCCCGACCTGTGCTTTTAGTGTACGCCATCGCGTGAAAGAATCTCCCAAAAACACTCTGGTCTTCATTCTCTTCTCTCAGGCCTCTCTCTTCTTCTCATACTCACACACTTTTTCGCTTACGACCCTCGGCCATTTACAAAGAACCGCGCTGAGAAAGCCGAGCTTCGATCACTGTCTGAAACCATAGCTCACCACAGATATGCAGTGAAAGTGTGCATCTGCAGAAAAAAGATCTGGGGACGAGCATGTAGGACGGGCTTACATAAACACATCACCAAAATGATTGACAATTAGGAGGACCACTTATTTAGATGATTCACCCAGAAAAAGAACATCCTCCACTTTACCTCTAAGTTATAACCTAAATAGCCCCTATTCCGCTGTGCTGCACGACAAAGCAGCATAACTTTGCTGTTGTGCTCAGACCATTACGATGTAATTATACAAAGGTTACATAAACATTTGTTACATGACAGCATCCAGAATCTCCCCTTCAAAAGTGTAGCTGACAGCACAGTCCAGCACTGGAGGTTGGATTACACTATAAACAGAGAGCTATATCACAAATAATAAACTGTAAGAATTTTAAATATTTTTTTATTGAGGCAGTATTTAATACAGCTGATACAATAAATTGTTAAAACTACAATGTCCTGCTTTTTAGTTTAATTGAGCATGTAAAATATAAATGTAGCCCTTCAGGTTTTGGAAAGATCCTCTTAATGCAAGAGAAATCTCAGGTTTTAGGAAAATGTCTGCTTATTAATCGCTAAAATTCATCAACTTTAGTTTAAATAATTTACTAATAAATTTTAAGCTGTAGACCAGATGTGCAATCCAGGTCAGTTCAACCCCTACAAGGTGGGAGGTATTGCTTTAAATCAGCTGGACGGTATAAATCAGTCTAGTTTCTGGGATCACTGAGGGCTCGTTTATTGCTCGTTTGCAGTATAAGCCTAATTTCTCTAACTAAATATTTCAATTTTTAACCTCACCTCATTTTCTCCCCCTCAGGTTCTGGACAGCATCTACTTCAGCCGTCGCTTCCACGTTCGGTGCGTGGCTCAGGCCCGGGATAAAGCCGGCCACCTCGGCACGCCACTTAGAAGCAACATCATCACCATCGGCACAGACGGCTCCATCTGCCACACCCCTGTTACCACGGGAACCGCCAGAGGCTTCCAGGCCCAGTCGTTTATTGCTACGCTTAAATACCTGGATGTCAAACACAAAGAGCACCCCAACCGGTCTGCAGTGTCTAAAAACTATTGTTGAGAACTTTGTCCAAACCTTATTTTTCTAAATAAATGTTCTGCTCTCTTCTCTCCACAATCAGCATCCATATCTCAGTGCAGATCCCACACCAGGACGGCATGCTCCCTCTGGTGTCCACCATGCCGCTGCACAACCTGCACTTCCTGCTCTCAGAGTCCATCTACAGGCAGCAGCATGTCTGCTCCAACCTGGTCACCATCAAAGAGCTGCAGGGGCTTTCTGGTATGTAAGACTCTCTCTAAAGGTACAGATAATCACAGCAGACAGGTTCAGTGGGGGAACTTTAAGTTGAATTTAAGATAATTAACCAGAATTTTTTGGTTTAAAGACTGAGACCGACTTTCAGAAACAATGTTCTTCCGCAGAGTCTGGCTTCCTGGACGACGTATCCTACGACAGCATCTCGCTGGGTCCAGGCTATGACCGGCCATATCAGTTTAACCCCAACGTCCGTGAGGCCAAGAGCATCCAGCTGTACAAACACCTGAACCTGAAGAGCTGCATCTGGACCTTTGACGCCTACTACGACATGACCGAACTCATCGACATCTGCGGGGGCTCGGTCACTGCTGATTTCCAGGTATGCAGAGAAACGCTTCTAAAACATCATCTACACTTTGAACATTTTATTTTTTGTAAAAATGCAATAAGAGATTATTTACTTTCTCAAGACTCCGATCTGCTACTACCTGATCCATTAACCCAAAAGAAAGTTGTTGGATTTTTTTTGCTAATTTAGGACTTAATCTTTTTGTTTTTGTATTTTTTCCCATCATAGACATGGATATTCTGAACTAAATGTCACAACGTTTTGCAGTTTTTCTTCCAAGGTTTACCCATGTTATATAAAATCAGTTTTGTATTATTTCATATAAAATAAAGGTACATCTGGAGGAAAAACTATATATATATATATGCGCAGTGAAACGGCTGATAATTATTCAAAAGACTAGGTTCAAGGGGTCACCACTGAAGAAGCCATTGTTTACATAAGGCTGTATCAAAGTGGACTCAAAGAAAGTTGAGTGGAAGGTAAAAGTGAGGGAGGAGGGGGTGGCTCAAGAGACAGGGATTCTTTTTACAGTTTTCATAAAAATATATTCTCTTAATTTTAATAGTTTTTTTCAAATAGTTTTTTAACTTATTTTTCTCTAATCTAGGTTTTATGGTCTCATGTTTAGCTCAAAAAATATCTCACCTCAAAGTTGCCTCTTGATGAGCAAAAAAAAAAGTTTTTTCCTAATATATTTATTGGCATGTATCTGATTCATTTATTCTCATATAAATGAGAGAAAGAAGCAGAATCATTAAATTTAGATTTTATGCAAATATATTTTTCAGAGTTAAACATTTTAGGAGCTGTACTTGTTGTTTTTAACAACTACTTTCCCCGATAGAGCACCTTGTCATATTCCAACCACAAACTTCTATGTATTTTATTGGGGTTTAATGTGATGGATCAGCATTAAGTAGTTCAACATTGTTAAGAGGAAAGAAATCTGGGGTCAATAGCTTGTAGAACCACTATTCATTAAAATCACAGCTGTAAGTATTTTGAAGTACATTCCTTCAACTCAAGTTGTAATCTTCTGTACAGAAAAGAATCTCCAGGTCTTTGCCACAGGTTGTCAGAGGTGAATCTTTTACTCAGTCTCAGTTTAAGAGAATTCACACAAAAAATCGGTTTTAGAATTTAATAGACCTTAACAAAGAGTAGACTGAGGCTGGAGTCTGACATCCAAACCCAATATGGAAATATAAAAATGAATTGATGGATGGATGAATTAATGAATTCAATAGATGAATAACATACTCTATGCTTATTTAGATCTGGAAAGTATTCAAATCACATTCTAGATTCTTATGCTGAATGTCCATCCTAACCCTTAAATCCCTCAATCACTATAGAGCTATACTATATAGTGGACTTTATAGTGAACTCAGTTAACTGAGCGTTCGGACAGAAGACACACACACCCCACCCTGCACGTTGTCTGCGCCATCTTTGTTATTTTTTACCGCTGTTGACAACAAATCCAACAAATACTTTGTAAGGAAAGCTCTTGCAAAGCATTCTGGGATATATCTGCTCGTCTAGTGACGATGGATGATCACTACTTTTCAAGGTGCGTTAAATTTCGAGGCCACTCTCTTAGGTTTATTCAATGATGATTATAAAATTAATGCATGTACATATGAGCATTGAAGCAAGGAGATGCTCCACTCTGCCTTGTGATTCAGTCGGTGGAGCCTCCTGTCTTATGAACTGATCAATTGTTCTGTCAGAACAATACTCTGTTTGTAACCATGTGTTATGTTCTGTTAATAAAGCGCTCTGCAGAGGAGGTCCGGTGGAGAGAGAGTATTGGTTGTTAGGTGCAGCTCTGTCTCCCCTCCTACAGGAAGCTGTGTTTGAAAATCCCTAACTGTGTATTTCAGTTCTTCTTTTACAAACCTACATTTTTGAACCTAACACACTACTTTTTCCATCCACTAGACATTTGGACACTAATCTAAAATGGCGTAACCACTATATAGTGATTAGAGCGGACATTTTGACGCAGCCCTAGACTGAAGCTTGGATATTAGCTCTGCAGAATCCAAACTAAACGTACTGCTTTCTCTCTCTTTTTGTTTTTGTTTTTTAGGTTCGGGACTCGGCTCAGTCCTTCTTGACTGTACAGGTTCCTCTCTACGTGTCCTACATCTACGTGACGGCCCCCAGAGGCTGGGCATCTCTGGAGCATCACACTGAGATGGAGTTCTCCTTCTTCTATGACACGGTGCTCTGGAGGACAGGTCAGACGAAGCACTGGTCTCACTTCTGATTATTCTCTTTGCAGCTTTGCATCCAAAAGTGAAATTAAAACCCTGCATGGTTTAACATCAGATAACTCAGACAGAGGTGATTTAAACATGCTTGCACTTTGCTTCTTATCTGGGTTGTGTTTTTTTCCTGCATGCAGGCATCCAGACAGACAGCGTCCTATCTGCCAGGCTGCAGATCATCAGGATCTTTATCAGAGAGGATGGACGCCTCGTGATTGAGTTTAAAACTCACGCCAAATTCAGAGGTCAGTTCCTCGCCACACAGAAATGCTCATCAGAGCGGCTCAGATTACCTTTTAGGTTTAGAAAACATTCATTCTCAAATAAAGGCTGCTGTTGTTTGTTTACTGATCTTATCTCTGCCATTTTCCTGCCATTTTTCCTCCTCCAGGCCAGTTCGTTCTGGATCACCACACTCTCCCGGGCCACAAGTCCCGTCTGATGGCACCCGACCACCTGGGAGGCATCGAATTTGACATGCAGCTTCTGTGGAGCGCTCAGACTTTCGACTCGCCGTATCAGCTTTGGAGGGCCACCAGCTCCTACAGCAGGTGTGAACATTTGAGTTCATACACAAAGTCACATCTTTGTTGACCTCTCTGGAAGCTTCCTGCCTAATGATCCATGCTGTGTGATACAGGAAGGACTACTCTGGGGAATACACCGTGTTTTTGGTCCCGTGCACCGTGCAGCCAACGCAACCCTGGATCGACCCCGGAGATAAACCTCTGTCCTGCACGGCTCACGCTCCAGAGAAGTACGGACTCATAGCTGCTATAAAACCAAGGGATCCATTAAACATCATCCTGAACTGTTTTGTGTTCTTTGACAGGTTCCTCGTTCCGATCGCCTTCCAGCAGACCAACCGGCCCGTTCCGGTCGTTTATTCCCTCAACACGGAGTTCCAGCTGTGCAACAATGAGAAGGTTTTCCTGCTGGATCCAGCCACCGCCGACATCTCCATGGCTGAGATGGACTACAAGGGAGCCTTCTCCATGGGTAGGAGTCATATTAGAGAAAATTATGCTGTATTTATCCTCCTTGAATTTAAACATCCCGTATAGCTATCATGTAAATAGAATCTGTTGAATGATATTCTTCATTTTACTGTTTCCTGTGAATATTTAAATTTAATATTCCAGATGATGTGAGAGGCGACTCGCTGCAGAACCATATGAGCGGAGCTCAACAACTTACTCTCGCCTTAACCAAACCTGTGTTTCCTTAATGGCTAAAGCTAACTCTTTACTTTATCTCCTCCTCAATCATACCTCACTTTGGGGGGCTAGAAGTTGGTTGGCGGGGCAACCAGCCTTGAAGTTTGTTGTGTACCACTTAGAAAATGTTTAAATACCTCATTGGCCCCTCCCTCCTGCAGGTCAGACTCTGTACGGCAGAGTGCTGTGGAATCCGGAGCAGAACCTGAACGCGGCTTATAAACTGCAGCTGGAGAAGGTTTACCTTTGCACCGGCAGGGACGGCTACGTTCCCTTCTTCGATCCAACAGGGACTCTTTATAACGAGGGGCCGCAGTACGGCTGCATCCAGCCAAACAAACATCTCAAACACCGATTCCTGCTGCTGGTAAAAATAAACATTTATTCACTCATTTTTGTTTTTATTTTTATTTGCATCATTATTGGGTTTATTGTTGGTGTTTTTATTTATTTTCAATGTGCATTTCTTCCAATCCTTCCGTTGTTTTTTAGATATCTTTGTGAAGGGTAATAATTGATTTAAACCAACACTAAGGAACTTTTCAACCTTCCTAGAATATTTTCATAACTTTTGTGAGTATCGTTGGACTTCAAACTAATTGAATGACACCTCTGTCATGACCCGAGAGGAGGATGGCAGTATCCCTGCCACACAAAA